TTAGAGAGGGTGTGTGGCAAGAAGGGAGGAAGGGAGGGCCAGGTAGGGGTATCAAGGAGGAGGGAAGAAATGATGCCAGGGAGGAGGGTGAGTGGGTGGCCAGACAACAACCTTCCTCAGGCAAGGAGGAGTCAGGTAGGAGAAATGGGGGTGAGATGGGGGTGAGGGGTATCGAGGTGAGGCACGCATCTCCCTGAGGGCATAGAAAAAGAGCTCTGAGAAGAGATGAGCATTAAACTACTAGTATCAGTCAGGCATCTCTGGGAACTCAGGGCGGCTGTGCTGGGAATCCCAGAGTGGAAGCGAGGGAGTCTAAGCCCATTCCCTGCCTCTCAGCACCTTGCAGCTCATCACGCTCCTCCCCACCCCCACCCCCACCCCAGTCCCTGCCCCCACCCCCACATAGGGTGTGACTGTGAAGAGCTAATTAGCAGCTCAGGACGGTACCAGGAAAGACTAAGGTTCCTACAGCCCACCTCTCACCAAGCCACAGCCCCAGCGGCAGCAGCCCCTCCTGCCTGTGGGGTGAGGTGCGTAAGGGCCACCGGCCCTGGGCTGGGTGGCTAACAGCTCTCTCCAGCTTTCTCTCCGCTGCTCCCCTTTCAACCTGCTCTCACTGCCAGCATCTTCCACTTCTCCCTCCTCTCCCCCAAGTCCCCACTCCAGGGAGGAAGTCCCCACATCCTCTCCCCTCTCTCAGCCCTGGAGCATGTGTGTGCCGCTAAGGAAGCCAGGTGAGCTGCCCTCGCTCTCCCCCCGGGCCCACCTCTAAGCCACATTCCCACCTTCACGTCACATCCTCCTGCCCCAGCACCCCACATACGCACAATGCCACAGTCATGCAGCCTTTAGGCCTGGACAAGGGTCCCGCTCTGGTCCTCGGCTCCAGGGGCATCGCTGTGGCCCTTGTCCAGTCACATCCCTCCCCACAGCACACGGGGTTCACAGGGCCAAGAAGATGCACCACTGGAGCCCCACCCCATTTCCAACCCCTGCTCTTGGAATTCCTTCCCAGGGGGCCTAAGCCTGCTTCCAGCCCTTCCTCCCGAGTGTGGCCTGTGCAGCCACAGGGCAGCTGTTTGCAGGATGTCTGCACAGAGCCTAGGGTGTTGCATGCTTTTTGTCCCAGCAGAAGACCCCTTGCTGTGTGGGCTGGAACAGAACATGGGAGAGGAGGGGGTGGGCCACACCAGGGCAGGGGGCTGCGGTACACTCCTGTAATAGCATGTTCCGCACAGAACTCCAAGGAGTGGGAAGTTCTGGATGCAAACCTGACCATCCAGGTCTTTCCAAAGATAGATTTGTCAACGTAGGAGGATAGATAATGTTTTACTTAACAGTGAGTTCGTTTGATTCATGGCTTCAAAATACTTAGACACATAGTATGATGAGGCCTCCTTTGACTCTTGCCCTGGGCCTTGCCAGTGCTGGGGATGGCCTGGCCAGCCCAAATCTGATGGAGTAATGGAGATTTTACTGAAGCTTTCACAACGGAATAGGGAGAAGGGGACATGGCATGTCACAAAGCAAAACTTCCTAAAATTCCTATTGAGCCAGCACTGCTCTTCTCCCAAATTTCCTCCCCATACCGCAGCCAGTCCATCTCTCCCTTCTCAGGAACCATCTCTTTGGCCTGCCTCTCCCACCTGGCTTGAGCCACTCTCCTCACGCCCCCAGGCCCATCCCCTCTCTGAGCAGAAGCCCTGTGCCTGGTTAAGTCGCTCTCGGCAAAGGAAATGCCTGTACTTGGCTTTGGTTTGTTCCCCCCATTTGTCCTACTTTTTGTTATCACAGTCTACTTCCCCCCGCAGCCATGTCTTTGAGTCACCTCTCCCAGTAGGCAGTGAGCTCCTTGAGGGCAGATGGTGTGTCTGATTCAGCTCTGTGACTCTTCTAGCACCTGCTCACTTTGAGAGCATTCATGCACGTTTCCATAGAAGAAATCACAGAGGAGTTGGAACCTGAGTGAGGCCTGAAGGGTAGGTAAAGTATAGAAAATGAAATCAAAAGAGAAAAGAAGTTCTGAGTAGAGGCAATAGGACAAGCAACAACAGATTCTTCATATCCTGTGGGCGATAGTGAGCCATTGAAGATTCTTGAGCTAGGGCATGATAGCACTTTAGGAAAATCTGTGCAGGGTCTACTGAAGTTAGAGACAGCAAGATGCAGGAAAGGGCGGGCAGCAGTTTGAGGGATGTTGCCATAGATCAGGCATGAGGCACTGGATGTCAGAGGGAGTAGGATGCAAAGGTGGGACAAAGGGATTGGGGGTGGGGGGCAGGACCTTGGGCTCAGTGAAGTGACTTGGTCAAGGCCACACAGTTGAGAGTCAGAACCATGACAGAATTCAAGCTGCCCAGTTTCAAAGCTGTACGATTTCCTCCAGGCTGAATCTCCAAGGCTGCTGAGGAGGAGTCTGCCCAGCAGGACCTGGCCCTCCACCAGCGTCACCCCAGGTTCACTACCAGGTTCTGCCAAGGAGCAACATGCAGGGAGATCCCGGCCCTCCCCCTTGGGAGGAAAGCACAGTCCTGATGTAGATGGGGAGGGAGGGGGGCAGCCCTGGGGAAGAGACTCATGTTAGCTCCTCTGCCTGGGAGGGAGTGGGTGATTGGTGATGCTTATATACCTGTGTCCCTGGGGACTGACTGAGGGAAGAGGGGAGCCGCGACAACTCCTGACACCCGGACAGTGCCCCACAGCTTCCACACACTGTAAAGCGTTATGGCTGACCACCACTTCCCCACCTCCCTGCCCAGTGAATCAGACCCACCCTGCAAGGTGCTCTCTGCGGGAAGTGTCGTCCTCAGACCTGTGGCACAGCCCTGGGCTCCCACTGCCATTACCACTGCTGCCCTCTGCAGATGAGAGCTGTGTGTCTTTGGCCAAGCCACTTAGCCCCTCTGTGTTCATCATCTGGAAAAGGGGGGTGATGAAAATGCTGTCTACAGGGTTTTTGACACTTGCCAGCCATTATGATGACGATGACGCCGCCTTGGCCTGCTGGTTGACTGTGGAGCTGTCTCTCCCACCACTCTGCAAATGCCGCTGGCGCACGCTAGGCCCACTGATTCAATCCACAAGCACGTACTGAGCACTTGCTATGTGCCAAGCCTTGTGATAGATTCTGGGTTTGGAGATAAATTAGAAGGCCTTGGGGCCCTGCAGTCGAGCTGGACACAGACCCGTGTAAGAAGAGTGTGGCAGAGGGTCACGGGCACCGGGCAGAGGCTGTGTGAGTACAGCCAGGCACGAAGGAGGACGAGGGCAGGCTCAATGGAACCAAAGCTGATCGAGATGAAACCGACTGTCCCACTTGACCCCACAGCAACTGTATTTAAGGATAAGGAGATGGCAACTCAACTGAGAAATCCACCACTGGTATGTCATGGACTGGGGCTGGGACCACAGCCCTCACTTCCCAAGGAGGGGCCCCACCTCCTCTTCTCCCCAAGCCTCTGCCTCTGCCCACAGTCTGGCGAGCTAAAGACTTCCGGGCAACATCCATTCATTCCCTGGGTGCTGCCAGTGCCAGCCCCTGGGCTGCAGGGTATTTTTAGTTCTGGGTGGCCAGGCCCGGCGGTGACAGGCAGCAGGCAGAGCTCACATTTCGGAGCCCTCTGTGTTGCTCCTGGCTCAGCATGAGAGGTGGCTGGGCACTGGGAGGGGGCTTAGGCATACCTGGCACCCCAGCCCACAGCTGCCTCCTTGTCCCTGGGAGGAGCTGGGCTGCTGCCACCACCACTGACCCGAGGCTGGGAGCATTCCTTCCTATTGATTCATCACAGGGAATGCATTGGGCCCAGCTGGGGTGGGGCAGGGGCACTGGGGGGGTATCTCGGACGTGGGCTGCCAGGAGTGGACAGCAGGTCCCTGGCAGCAGGGTGAGTGTGACCTGGCAGTCACCCAGGAATCCAAAAGGTCTCCTCCTTGCCATCGTAGCCCTATCACCTCTGCCTGGGGCAGCGCTTGTTTGCACATCTGCCTCCCCCACTAGACTGGGAAGACCCCTCCCAGCGTCTAGCACTGCAGCACCCTGTCTGGCACGTAGGAGAAAATCAATAAAGTCTTGCTGGATGAATGAGCCTTTGGAAGGACAGTCAGGCAAGGTGGGGGCAAGAGGGGAACCAGGTTGGTCTGGTCTGGGCCTAGGGAGGAAGCTGGGAGGCTGGCACCCCCGCCCACGGTACAGATGGGGTCACTGAGGCAGGGGTGGGCCCAGGACTGTGGGAAGGAAACGGGGCCTTGGGCTGGGATTCAGACACCTGAGTGCTCAGTTCAGCTGATGGGCCTCCCCTCTCAGCCCCTCACTCACACTCTCCCCGCATGAGCCTGACAGGGCTGGGACAGCCTCATTCAACTCTGCAAGGGCGTGTCATGGAGGATTTCAGTTCTCCCATTACTGCTTGTTACGGGGGCAGAGGGGCAGTCGTGTCCCCAGAGGCTCAGTGTCCCCAGCTGCACAAGGGGCCGCACAGAACTCCACACCACCGGGACCAGGGCAATGGCGAGGCTTGCCTGTTACTCTACCCGGACCTCCTCTGGCCCCCTCCCCAAACAAAGGGCGTCTACCCTGTCCCAAGTGTCCTAGCTTAGGGGATTCCGACCTTCGACAGCGAGGCGCTACCGTGGGAAGCGCGCTGCGCTCTGGCACTGGCACCTGCCGGCCTCGCTGCAGGGGGCTTGGGGTGGCCATCACCACCGGCTTGGCGAAAGAGGGAACTGCGCCCAGAGGGACTGGCGAGGCCGCCGCGGCACTCCCTCCAAACGCCGCCGGCGGGGCCGCCGCCCTCTCCCAGGAGCGGGGATCCGCCCGGTCGCTCCCGCTGCCGCGTGCGCCCGCGGCCCGTGTCCCAGCGCAGACGGCGGCCCCCCGCCCCCGCCGTTCCCGCCAGGGACTTCCCGCCCCCGCCCCCTGGCCTGCGTCCCGACCGGGCGCCGAGCGAGGGCAGGCCCGAGGGCGGGGCCTGCGGGGCCTCCTCCGCGCCGCTGGGGGCTGGGGGGCCGCGGGCGGCAGGCGGATAAAAGGGCCCCGGGCGCCTCGCAGGCCGGTTCGCGCCGCTAGCCCGCGCCCGCCCAGCCCTGCGACGGTCCGCGCTCCAGCTGGTGAGCCCCCGCCCGCCGCGCTGGCCCGGGTCTGTCTCTTGCTGTGCTGTCTGTCCTTCTGCCTCTGCGCCTTGCAGGCCTCTGAGGGTTCCTGGAGGCTGGGGACTGGGAGGGGTGAGGTCCCATGGATGGTCAGCCCGGCCCGCTAGTCGCTACTCGCTCACCAGCCTGCTTCCAACTGGACAAGTGACCCGGCTGGGAAGCTTGGCCCAGGGCCCGCTCCGGGTGGGGTGCTGTGCCCTGGCGCGCGGTGTCTGCGTGTCTTGTTTGTGAGCACGCTGCGAGTGTGTACTGTTTCCCTGCCTTCCATCCCAGGAGGCAGGGGAAGGGGTAAGGTGTGTTCAGATGTCACTGTGGTGACTTGGGGGACAAAGGGCCAGGGCAGATCTGGGCTCTCCAACTAACAAGACCAGGGCTGAATGCTGGGGGGTGAGAGCAAACAGGAAGCAGAAGGGATGGGGAGCAGAGGGCTTCAGCCCCCACCTTTCCTAGCCTGGACAGGTAGAGCTCAGGGCCCATTTGCTGGCACTGCTACAGGGCCACAGAATCAGTGATCACAGGTGGCTGCTGGGAAGAGAAGCCCCACCCCCAGCGCTACAGAGAAAGGGCTGTGAGTGATCCCAAAGTTGGTGTCCCTCAAGACAGCACCCCAGATGGCCCTCTCCTGAGTGCCCTTGGGCATTTGCCCTCTTCCAGCCCTCCCTACCTGGGCCAGGTCAGGCCAGGTGCCAGCATCCCCTGGCAGCACCTGGAGCAGGTACCTTTCTGCCTCAAGCTGGCAGGGTCTTGGATCTGTCACTTGGTGGCACTCAGTGTGGGCACCCAGCCCAGTGCCCTCACACCATGGCCCGGGTCATAAGGAAACCAGCAGCAGTGTGGAATTTCAGAGGAACTTCCTCTTCTGACATCCATCTCCCTTGTGGTTTCGAGAGCCGGGCTCTCAGCCAGGCTGCCTGGGTTTGAATCCTGGCTGGGCAAGTGACTTGACTTCCCTAGGCCTCATCCTCTCATCTGTAAAGTGGAGATAAGTAGTCAATAAATATTTGTGATGTATTATTGTCATCCTCCCCTCCCTCTGTCCCCGTTCTCCTCCACCTTCCTTCCCCTCACCTTTCTCCTTCACCTGGGTGAAGAACGGCCACTTGTCGAGGCTGCTTCCTCCTCTGAGGGATGCTCCTCCGGGCCCCCTCTGTGCGCTGGGCTGAGGGAACAGACACGCGGGAACTTGCGTAGTCAGGAAGCAAACTCACAAGTGCCAGGCAGGCGGGAAACTGGGAGGGTTCCATGGGGGAGTAGCATTCAAGCTGGTGTTGAAGGGCGTGTGGTTTAACTATCTGGGAGACGGGACAGTGAGAGCAGAGGCTTGGGGACGGGGAGATGAAGGTAAGTTTCGGGACCGGAGAGAAGGCAAGTCTGGTGTGAGCCAGAGCTGTAGAAGGCCCCAAGGTAGGCAGGACAGCTGGGAAGAGAGAGGAGCTCTCCCTGCTCTCCCTGCACCTGTCTCAGTTCCGCCTACTCCCATCTGCCTCCCCGCAGCTTCCCTGGAAGGGAGCTGCCCTGGCCCAGACCGAGGGGCTGCAGCAGAAGCCCACCCTGCGCTCAGGTTGATGCCTTGACAAGGCAGGAATGGCTGGCCTGGGAGAGCCCACAGCCTCTACCAAGACCCCTTCAGTGTTGTGGGGACTTCAGCCACAAGCCGAGCAGCAGCCCCGCCCAGCCACCAGGCCCTATCAGAGCATGTCATGTAGGAGACCTCTCCTGCCACCCCTCATTTTACAGGTGTTGCAGCTGAGACTCGAAGAAAGGAAAACACCTGCCTCCAGACACACGACAGTTTGGTGGCAGAGTTAGAATCATCCTGACTCTTGGGGACCGTAGAGGAGGTGTGGTCATCACTCAGCCCAGACCCAATGTGACCACTGGGTTGTAATCTTTCCCGCACTCTCTTGTCATCTGGCAAGTGTTCCTACCCACAGGGGCTGGTTTGGCTCAGTCCCCAGCTGTCAGAGAAGGGCATGGAGACATTGGAAGGAGCGGAGAGCACTCTGCTCATGGTGACAGCCAGCTGGGAGCCCCCACGGGGCCCTGAGTGAGGAGTGGCATGCAGAAGACAGTGTTTGAGACTGGAAGGAAAGCACAGCGGGGTCAGAGTGGGAAGACTGCGGGAGTGAGAATGGGGGAGGCACCTGCGCAGCCTCAGGGAGTGCAGAGAGGAGAACCCCGGCTCAGGAGTGTGGGTGGAGGGGACGAGGGTGAATCGGAGCACGTTGCACGGAAGGGTACCAGGGACTTGGAGTTGAGATGGGATGTGGCCTCCATCACCACCTTTGTACAAAGACGGGGTGGGACTAATCTAGACCGATGGCTCTCTAGTGGCTATTACGATAGCTGTTAGTAATAGGTAATTGTTACTAAGGGCTTGCTCTTCTAAGAGTTTAATATCTATTCATTCACTGAATCTTCACAAAAATTCTATGCAGTAGGTGCTATTATTATCCCCATTTTACAGAGAGAGGCACTGAGGCAGTGAGGAACTATTAATATATCAGCTGGCCAAGGTTACCTGGAAACTAATTGGTGGAGGTGGGATTGAACCCAGGTGATCTGAGTCCCCAGTCTGTGCTCATAAGCACTGTGCTATGCCACCTCCCTCCCATCCATGCAACCACAGATATTTATGAGTGCTGCCTACATGCCGGACACTGTGCTGGGCACTGGGGACATGGCACAAAGTCCACACTCCCATGGCACTTCATTCCCACTGCCCATCTAGTGCACTGCTCAGACCCCACTCCATCCCTCCTGCTGGGAGGAAAAGGAGTGCCTCTCCGCCAGATACCAGCCACAGGGATGGAGTGCCAGGGGCCGTGACACCCTCCCTACTCAGGCTGATGAGCTACGTGATTGCCCAGGAGCAGCCATGGCCACGGCAGTGGCAGGTCTCATTAGAATGGGCTCTCCTAAGACTCAGACACTGGGCAGGGAGCCAGGGACCCAGCCTTCTCCATCCAGTATTCCAGGTGAGCCTCGGAGCTCCATTGGCAGCGGCACCTGGGGGTGGAGGAGCTTCAGCATCGGTGGCTCCAGAGGTCTGCAGTGCCTCAAACCAGCGGTGACTGTCTCCTCTATGCCCTTCTCCACCCACTGGTCCCAGGACCAAGCCCACTAATATGTGAGGGGGAGAGGACCAGCCCCCAACCTTATACCCTCTAAGGTCCCAAAGGGCATCCGATGCAGCCTCCTGGAGACAGGGGCTCTCTCTGATGTATGTCCACTGCCTGAAACCCCCCCGTGGCCCCTCACTTCCTACAGGACGAAGGGCAAGCCCTCTGCATGGTGCACAAGGCCCTGATCACTGGCCCAGCCTGTCCCTCCGCCTCTCTCCCTTCCAAGCCCCAATGCTGTTAAGAGAAGGGTGCTTTCTGCTCTTGCACAAACACCTCCTTCCCTCTTTCCTTCACCCATCCTATTCTCTTCCTGGAATGCCCTTTTTCCTGCCTAGAAGAACTCTTACTCATCCAACGAGGCGCAGGTTAAGTGTCCCTTCTTTGAAAGCCCTCCCTAATTCTTCCTCACTGAGCCTCATGAGGGTAGGGAGAGTATTCGATGTCTTAGTTTCTACGTCCAAGCACCTGGCCTATCGGCCTGAAGCGAGTATTCCAAAAATGTTTGTCAAGTCACTGCAGGAATCACACCCCTGGGGGACCCAGAACGATGGCTCGAGGATATCGTAGGCTATCCAAGCTGGAGGAGATGCAACATGGTGCTGGGGTCACCCTCCTCACGTTGGAAACAGAGCATTGGGGCCCAGAGAGCTTACGAGCCTTGCCCAAGCCACGCAGCAGGTGGCGGGGGACTTGGCTCCCCTCTGCTGACCCTTTCTGCGGCGGCCTCCTGTGCCTTCTTTGGTGAAGGTGGCATCTTACACATTGGAATAGGGCGTGGGAACAGCAGAGCCCCTGGGGTAGATATTCGTGGCCTGAGGGCGCCCTGGGCTGCCTGTGACCTGCATGTAAGGCTGTGTCAGGCAGAGCTACTGTGAGTTGAGCTACTGTGAGTTGAGCTACTGTGAGTTGAGCTACTGCGAGTTGAGCGCTTACCCATGCCGGGCCAGTGCTGAGCGCTTCCTGCGCAGCGCTGTGTTTAACAGCACATCCACGCTGTGAGACGGGACTGTCACCCCCATGTCACACATGAGCAGACTGAGACTCAGGAAGGTTAACCTTCAACCTCCTCAAGGGCCCAAGGCCGATAAATGGCGGATTTGAACCAAACTGGCTAACCTGAGCGCCCAGACTCGGTCAATGCCACCACGCACACGCGTGCACGCAGAGGGCCCCTGCCATCCTTTCTCGTGGCAGCAGCGGCCAAACTGCTGAAGAGATGGTGATCACTGTCACGTTTACTCATTGCCCAGGTACCGTGGCCCCCACTGCCCTTGAGGTCACCGAGATGTGGTCCCCGCCAGCCACGCTCTCCCTGTTCCTGCTGCTGCTGGGCCAGGCCCCTCCCAGCAGGCCACAGTCTCCGGCCTCCACGAGGCTCCGGCTGGTGGGCTCCGGGAGCAGGCCAGAGGAGGGCCGCCTGGAGGTGCTGCACCAGGGCCAGTGGGGCACCGTGTGTGACGATGACTTCGCTCTCCAGGAGGCCACAGTGGCCTGCCGCCAGCTGGGCTTCGAAGCTGCCTTGACCTGGGCCCACAGTGCCAAGTATGGCCAAGGGGAGGGTGAGTGACTGGTGTCGCCCGGCAGGATGGCCAGGGGATGGTAGCAGGGTCCTCTCGGGAGCCTGGCTCACTGGGGCTGCGACAGAACACATCAGACGCCCAGCCGTCCTTCAATCCCCAGCTCACGTGACCTCCTCCATGACGCATTTCCTGAGTGCCCCAGCCACCAACGGGCCTGCTCCCCTCCTCGCGCATTCTCTCTTGTGAGGAGCCCATCACCACCACTGAACTCTAAGTTCCTTGAACACAGTGATGGACACACAGTGGGTGCTTAGCAAATGTTGTTGGATGAATGAATGGGCCGACAGGTAGGCCTGATTACTACACCTACATGGCACTTTCTGAACACAGACTCTACAAGCCCTGCTGCTCAGAAGAGGCGGAAGGCAGGGCTGTGGGTACTGAGACCCCAGGAGGACCAGCCCCCCCTCCCCCCTCCTCACTCTCCACCAGGGTTTGGAAGGGGAGGCTTGACGAGTGTGGGGTCCTATCCAGGAGGCAGGTGACCTGCCTCTCTGTGCACCCTTGAGCACCACCGTCCCCTCCCCACAGGGCCCATCTGGCTGGACAATGTGCACTGTGCGGGCACGGAGAGCTCCCTGGACCAGTGTGGGTCTAATGGCTGGGGTGTCAGCGACTGCAGCCACTCAGAAGACGTAGGTGTTGTGTGCCACCCCCAGCGCCAGCGTGGCCTTTCTGAGAAGGTCTCCAATGCCCTTGGGCCCCAGGTGAGAAGGCTGTCCAGGCCCTGGAGAAGGGAGGGGACCAGGAGCAGAGCTTGCACTAAGCAGCATCCTGGGGGCCCTGCCCCCTGTGTGTGGCCCGAGCAGGTGCGTGGAGAGAGGGCCGCAGCCCGACACGGCGGAGGCCAGAGCACCAGGCTGGGCCTGCTGGGAATCGCAGAAGCTGCTCCCATAGGGATGCAGTGGGGGGCAGGGGGCTGCTTCACCCGCAAGGCCTGGCCACAATTGCTGCCTCTTCCCAGCACAAACAACCCGAGCTAAAAACAGCCCAAGCTGAACAACAGGAGCAGGCAGGGCAGGGCTCTGGCTCCTACCTCTGCTGTGTGGCAGCCTCAGCCTGAGGACAGCTGGCCCTGGCCCTCTGATCACAGCAGGCCATGATGGGGGTCTCTGTATGGGTCTGAGTAACCCCAGGGCTAGGGTGGGGGTCTCAGAGGCCAAAGGATCCTGCTGGTGCAACTAGTCTGCACCCATCTCAGCTCTCCCCTGGCGGCATGAAAAGGCCCCTCCATGCGCGGCAGAAGCCTCCCAAACTCCAAGGGCTCCATCCTGATCCCAGGGAAGGACAGAGCTGCCTAGTTCTCTCCAGCTGACAAATTTGAGGAGCTGAGGGAAAGGGCCTAGACACACGAGGTGCTGCCTTGCCCTTGCCACGTAGTTCTGACAAATGGCTCCTTGTCTCGGGGCCTCAGCTCCCGGCCCGCCCAATGGGGCGCTGGGTGGGACAGTCTGTAGGAGCTCCGGGCCCTGCTTTCCCGCGGGAAGCTCTGCAGTGGGCTCTGCAGGGGGGCAGGAACCCAGGGCCCACGGGTGACTGTGCGCCCGCAGGGCCGGCGGCTGGAGGAGGTGCGGCTCAAGCCCATCCTTGCCAGCGCCAGGCGGCGTAGCCCAGTGACCGAGGGCGCTGTGGAGGTGAAGTACGAGGGCCACTGGCGGCAGGTGTGTGACCAGGGCTGGACCATGAACAACAGCAGGGTGGTGTGCGGGATGCTGGGCTTTCCCAGTGAGCTGCCTGTCAACAGCCACTACTATAGGTAGGAGGCGCGGGGCCGAGGGCCTGCGGGAGGCGGGATCGCGGGGTGGTGGCTGTGCGTGTGTGTGCACATGTGCACAAGATGTGCACATGATGTGTGTGTGTGCATGTGTGTGATATGTAAGGGTGTGCATGTGTACATGTGTGTGCTCATGTGAGATGCGTGAGGGGAGGGGGCGCGTGAGTGTACACACACGTTCGTATGATGTATGCGTGTGCGTGATGTATAGGGGTGTGCACGAGCGTGTACGTGTGAGATGTGTGAGGGGATGAGTGTGCACACATGCGTGCGTGTGGCACGTGGGCCCTTACAGAGTTCAGTGGGGACGGGAGGGACTGACTAGCAGCAGTGGCGTCTGTGGCAGGACGTGCAGCAGGTGTTGGGATCGGAAGAGAAACAAGCCCAACTGAGGAATGTGCCTAGATTCCTGGGTTATGGATCCCTCAGAGTGATGCAGAGGAACGTGAGTGAGGACGAACTTCAAGATCCCAGGAAATATCTAGAAACAGTCACAAAAATAAACCTCGTACTTACCCATCACAGAAAAAGAATAGGCTACAGTACGTGCCCCCATGATGAAAACCACTGCATGTGAAGGTGTTTCCCTGATTTAAAAAGCAGACTTTCCTGAAGATACTTTGAGTGACGCAAGCACAGCGTGGACGAAGTCCTGGTCTCAGCTCAGCTGGCAGCCGGCTGTGGGCCCTTGGGCAGGGCCTGGATCCTCCAGTCCCCTGTGAATTATCCCGGCTCTGCGGCCGCAGACTCCCCAGCTCTGACCCGAGCCGGGCTGTGACTGGGTTGTGTGTTGGCAAGGCGTGGGGCGGGTGGGCTCTGCGAGAATGTGAGCAGACTGTCGCAGCAGATTGCATCAGCCCGCAAAGGCGGACACGGTGCTGCCTGCCAGCGCAGACTGGCCACGTCTCATCAGGGAGAATCTCCCACGGTACGCCTGAGTCGGCTGCCTCGTCCGCTCAGTCAGTTTCCGTCACGCCCCACGTAAGGGGCTGGGAGTCCTCTTTGCTCTGTCCTTGTGTCTCTGACTTAGATGACCCTGTTCTGAAGAAAGACGGGTGGTGGCTGGCCGCGTGGCTCCACTCTGGGGCATAGCGGGGATGTGGGCCCTGACTCCCTGCTGCCGGTGATTGCACATCTGGGCCTCGCTGACTCCCCCACACCCGCGAGGAGGGCAGCCCTGATGACAGTCTGGGGGCCTCTGGGTGCACAGCTGCCACCAGCAAGGCCTGCACCTTCCACCTGTCCCCAGAGGACCTTCCCCCAGGTCCCGGCTCTTGGGGAAGCCCCTAAAGGCTCCCCTTCATCTGGACCGAGCTGCCTGTCCTGGGGGCAGCCCCGCACAGAGAGACCCCACGTTAGGACTGGCCGAGGGGCCTTGCTCGCCTGCCTTGTAAAGTTACTCTTTGTGAGGTGGCTACCCTATCAGGGATGCTGGGAAGCTCAGCACTAAAATAAGATTACAAGTTTACAAACTGTGAAGTCCTATGCAAAACTGAGGACAACTATGAAGAGCAGAGTGGCACCAGTTGGGACTTCTGGCGCCCTTCACCTCCCATCCATTTTCCCAACAGGAAAGTCTGGAACCTGAAGATGAAGGACCCCAAGTATAGGTGAGAAGGGGCACCCTGGGGGGAAGAAGAAAGGAGGTGTGGCCTGAAGGGTCTCCTCCCCTCCCCTCCCCTCCCTCCTCCCCTCCCCTCCCCTCCTCCCCTTCCCTCCCCTCCTCTCTGGCTTCCCTTAGCCCCAAAGCTCTTCCCTCAACCCCTCCTCCACCCTCAGTCTCCCTTGTCCTCCAGGCTGAAGAGCCTGACAAATAAGAACTCCTTCTGGATCCACCGTGTCAACTGCCTGGGGACAGAGCCCCACATGGCCAAGTGCCAGGTGCAGGTGGCTCCCGCACAGGCCAAGCTGCATCCGGCCTGCCCGGGTGGCATGCACGCTGTGGTCAGCTGTGTGGCAGGGCCTCGCTTCCGCTCACCAAAGGTGAAGCCACGACGCAAGGAGCCCTGGGCAGAGGTGAGCCCCAAGGGGCACCGTCCCCCTCCAAAGGCCCCACCCAGTGGGGGGGTGGCTCTAGCACAGGCAAGAGAGGAGAGAGGAACCAGACTTGGAGGGGGAAGTGTGAACCACAGTATGGGAGAACCTTGGAATTTATTTAAAAGGGATCATTTCTATCCCTACCATAAATGGAAAGCTGACATCACCAGCCTTGAGTGGAAAGTGACCATAAAAACAGTAATTAACTCCTAACTACACCCCGTGGAGGGCTGAGAACCTGAGTCTGGCCCTTTGTTAGAACAAGCGGACGAGCAGGTGCGAGTGAGGTGTTCCGGACACCTCAGCACGCACTGGGACGGGCTCCGTGAAGATACTGTGGTGGGGATTTGTCATGGAAGAGGTGGAGGTCAGGAAAATGGCTTATTCAAGGTGGTTGCTCTGAGAAGTCAGAGGCAGGACCGGAACTCCTGGACATCAGCTCTGGCCACCGCAGCCGGAGTGGAGCTTGAGGTGGCCCTGCCGTAGGGACTGGCTGCCACCGCCCCAGCCTGCCCTGAAGCAGGTTTTCTCCCACAGGAGCCCAAGGTGCGCCTGCGCTCCGGGGCCCAGGTGGGCGAGGGCCGGGTGGAAGTGCTCATGAACCGCCAGTGGGGCACGATCTGTGACCACAGGTGGAACCTCATCTCCGCCAGTGTCGTGTGTCGGCAGCTTGGCTTTGGCTCTGCTCGGGAGGCCCTCTTTGGGGCCCAGCTGGGCCAAGGTGAGTGAGGAGGCCTGGGGTGGGGGCGGTGGCGGGTCTGGATAGGCTGCTGGTCCATCTCTTGCTGGCCCTGGGCTGTCGGGGCCCAGGGCAGAAAGTTCTCCCCCTCTGTGGAGGGGAAGCCACACGTGTGGGGTGACAGAGATGGAGCCTCACACAGCACCTGCCCCCCCTAGGGCTGGGGCCCATCCACCTGAGCGAGGTGCGCTGCAGGGGACATGAGCGGACCCTCAGTGACTGCGTCACCCTGAAAGGGTCCCAGAATGGGTGCCAACATGAGAATGACGCTGCCGTTAGGTGCAACGTCCCTGACATGGGCTTCCAGAATCAGGTGAGCTCGGGTCTGAGCATGGCCTCAGGCTGGGGGACTGGGAAGCCCTTGGGAAGCCCCAGGACAGCACAGGGAGCCAGTGGGGCAGGGTTCATGAGAGGCACAAAGGCTTCTGCCCAGATCCTAGACCACCTTCCCGTGGAGCCAGCCTGGAAAGCCCTTTTCTCCCCGAGTCTCACCTGGCCTGGCCCACAAGCCCTCAGAGCAGAAGGCCACGGGGACTCCGCAGGCGGGCGTGCTCTCCCACACCCGCTCAGGGCCCGTGAGGTGCCCAGGGAGGAGGGCCACAGGGCTGCTGGCACCGGGGAGTCGCCCAGGAGAGGCAGCGTGGGCTGCTCGGGTCCAAGCATAAGTGTGAACGTGGACCGTGGGCTGTGGGCAAGTTGCTGGTCCTGGTGAACTGTCTCTCTTTACAGAGACCAACAGAGACGGGGAGCGTCTTGTCTAGGGCCACACAGTGAGCAGCCCTGGGCTCTTCCTCCCAAGGCTGCCCCATCGCTCACATGCCTCTGACCTTGCAGGTGCGCTTGGCCGGGGGGCGCAGCCCTGAGGAGGGCGTGGTGGAGGTGCAGGTGGAGGTGAACGGGGTCCAACGCTGGGGGAGCGTGTGCAGTGACCACTGGGGGCTCACCGAAGCCATGGTGGCCTGCCGACAGCTCGGCCTGGGCTTTGCCAACCACGCCATCAAGGTAGGTCCCTGTCTCGCTCCTTCCCTACAGCCTCTCAGCCTCCCAGACTGAGAGGCCCAGAACTTCCTGTGCTAAAGCTGCTGCCCTTTTATTCATTCAACGAGTCGTTATTGAGTGAAACTATGGGCCGATGTGATGCTGCGTGCTGGAGACAGTGTGGTAAACCAGAAGACACTGTCCCTGCCTCACAGAACGTACAGTCGAGTGAAGGAGGTGGCCATTAATAGAATGTTCACACAACCAGGTACACAGCTGTGTCTGCAGGAGAGATGAACAGAAGTTAGCTAGACAAGGTGGGGCAGGATATAAATAACTTATGCAAAGGCCCTGTGGCCAGAGAAAGCTTGATTAGTTGAGGAAATCAGGGGCCATGGGTTGGAGTGTGGCTCTGAAGAGGAAAGCCCTGGAAAGTGTGAGGGTGGAAGAGGAGGCAGGGGCGAGGCCATTCGAAGTTTGTAATCCAGATTCTAAAAAGATTTCTGCCTTTGCTGTTTGGAAAACAGTTGGGGAGGAGACTAACATGAATGCAGTCTCAGGAGGCTGTCATAGTAGCCCAGGTGAGAAATGATGCAGGATTGGACCAGGCTAGTGGCAGTCCAGGGAGGGATAAGTGGATAGATTTGAAAGATATCAAAAACAATAATAGAATCGAGACTTCGGGTGCGGTTGCAATGGAGAAAGCTGTGCAAACACACCACACTGGCTGTTGCACGTGCCTGGGCAGACCTCACCTGGAGAGCTGGGCTCAAGTCTGAGCACAGCTGTGTGAGGAACAGTGGGGGACACGGGAGCACCCCCTGGGTTGGGGAGAAGGGAGCAGGACCACCCTTTCCAAATGGTGAAGGGCTGCCATCTGGGAGAGAGATGCGTGCAGGGCCAGGCGTAAAAGCCATAGGTAGTCGATTTTTGCATCATTACATGGGAGAAATTTCAAATATAACAAGAGTCCGAACATGGCATAGACTGCTCTAGGGCTCGTCACCCAAGACTGGTTCAGGCCCAGGCTGGGCACAACCTGGAAAGGGTATGACGGGGTCCAAGCCTCAGATGGAAGTCAGAAGAGATGATTCCAAAGGCACCACGCTGCCCTGACTGGGTGACACTGTTTTCTTAGGACACCTGGTACTGGCAGGGGACGCCGGGGGCTGGAGAAGTGGTGATGAGCGGGGTGCGCTGCTCGGGCACAGAGCTGGCCCTGCAGCAGTGCCAGAGGCACGGGCCGGTGCACTGCTCCCACGGCACCGGGCGCTTCTCGGCCGGAGTCTCGTGCTCGGACAGTGAGTAACCAGAGGGCTCACGGGGCGGGGAGACAGGTGGGCTGCACTCCCCCTCAGGGAGTGTCCTACGTGCAGGTGCCAGCTCCACGGCGGGCAGGGGTGGGGAGTGGAAGCACCAGCTTTGCCATTTCCCAGCTGTGTGTGGCCAAAGCACCAGTCACATCAGGATACAAACCCTGCCCTGCTGACCTTATGGAGTTATTGCGAGACCGAAAACCAGGTGAAAGCACAGGATATAGAACAGGTGTTTTTCAACTTTGGGGTTATGACCAACAGTTTTAAAAAATGAAAGAGAATAGAAAACATCAGAGTGCATTACATTTAGCAAGGATGACATTTTTTTTCTTGGAACTATGTATGCGTGTACTGGGTTACAACATAAAATACATTTCTTACTGTGGTTTGTTGTAAGAAGTTGGAAAGCTGCTGTGGAGGATATACAAATGTGAAGCACACCGAGGCCTAAGGCCCAGCTGTGTGTTCTCTTCCTGAGCTTTGGGATTTGCCCAAAGGGCTCTGGGACAAGACTATTTGTGGCATTGGTCTGCGCCACAAACCCAGGGCAGCAGCATCTTTGACATCTGCCAACCAGGCCTGTGCCAAGATAACTATATCCAGTCCAAAGGCTGGAGGTGGGCACCAATCCAAGTGGACACTTGACCTTTCTTCCCAGCCAAACTTCAATGCCAAGAGATCCTTAACCTTTGTCAGTGAGCTCTTGGCTTCCTTTCTGTCCAGCGTACCCTGGGGAGAACACTGGGCCCATCCATCACACTGCCCCGCAGGGTGACAGGGCATCAGAGTGGGCCTCCCCAGCACCAAGGCCTCCCTGCACCTTGGGAGCCTGCTCCCACTTGACTGCCCTCCCTGGGAACCTCGTGCCCACTCGTTCTGCCTACAGCGGCAGTTCTCTTCTTAGACGCTTTTGATGCTTCACAACAGCTCGGCAGAGAGCCAACCTGCAGCCTCTGTAGCCATGCCTAGTTCTCCTTTCTGACATCCGCACTTCTTTCTTTCCTTTACTCTCTTCTCACTCTCTCTAAACACTCCTTCTTTCTCCCAGAAACCCTCCAGGGTTTGTCAGTGGTCAGACCCTGGCTCTCTCCAATATATACCGCAGGAATTTCTGGAGCATTTTCAGTGCTAGTACAGGAAAAGTATCCAAGTTAGGTATCAGCAGAGCTTTTTGGGAGGATTATATGAGCTAAGCTACATAAAGGGACTTTACAGGCTTAAAAGCATTTTACAAAAGAAATACTAGCTTACATCGACTGCTCGTTTACTGTGGGCCAATGGTCTAAGCATGATACAGGCATTATCACATTAATATCACTATTATTATCTCCATCTCATAGATGAAAAGGAGAGACAAAAGGGTTAAGCAGTCACAGAGCTAGTAAATGATACAGTCAGAAACTAAGCCAAGAATAAACCCAGGTGGCCTGGCCCCAAAGCCAGCAAGCTTAACCATGACACTGCAGCTGTCTCCCAAGTTAGGGTGATAGATTGTTCCTTTTATTGTTATTATGTGTTTTAAGAGTTAGGAGATGTAATTAACTCTTAAAACGCCTTCTTTTGTGGGATCCTTCTGGAGGGCTCAGTCTGGGGCGAGCCTGTCCTCCACGCCGGAGAGCAAGGCTGGCTGCCTTCCCACCACCACCTGCCCTCTGCCCACCCAGGTGCTCCCGACCTGGTGATGAACGCCCGGCTGGTGCAGGAGACAGCCTACTTGGAGGACCGGCCGCTCAGCCTGCTGTACTGTGCCCACGAGGAGAACTGCCTCTCCCAGTCTGCTGACCGCATGGACTGGCCCTACGGGCACCGGCGCCTACTGCGCTTCTCCACACAGATCTACAACCTGGGCCGGGCCGACTTTCGGCCAAAGACTGGACGCCACAGCTGGATTTGGCACCAGTGCCACAGGTTAGTGCTAGCCATGCCTCTACAGGGTTAGGAACAAAAAGCAGGTTCTAGGGACCAAACACTCTGGCCCCTCCCTGGCCTCAGGCAAACTTTCCTGGGTGTGTGCCCTGGATAAGCCTGCCTTCCTGGCCGCCTTGCCTTACTTCCGTGTGAGCAGGAGCAACACTGGTATCCAGCAGTGCCCACCTGCCCTCTCCATCTCCCTTCCTTTCCCTGATGTCCTGTGTGGATGGTGCTCGTGGGTATTTACCACAGCAGTGTCCCACAGAGAAGGAATTACCACCAGAGCTGGTCTCTGTCAGAATGGTATCAGACCATTTTCCTTTGTGGGACCATAGACAGGTCTGTCTTCAGAAGCCAGGTAAAGTGGGGACTCCCAGAAACCTGGAGGCCCAAAATAGACATGCCATCCGGGATGCTGGCTGTGCAGAAACAGCTCACCTGTTCCTGAAGCAAGGCAAGACCCCAAAGAACAGCATGAACAGATCAGTACTAAAAAGAGGACAATGAACATTCTTTCCTATCAGGAGCTCCCAGACCAGAGAGAGGGAGAGACAATGCCTGTGAAAAGGACAGAATGTATTTTTTGTTCCTTCAGGACATAGCAGTGGGTGGGGAAGACTGAGAGGAATGGGCAACAACTTTGGGACTTGGCCTTGCCTGAGATAATAAGCATCTTTCCCTGTAGCAAGAACAGAGCTGTCATTATAACTGGATTGGGAACAGTGGTAGCACTTTGGTCCCAGGCTGACAGGGAGGAGACTAAGCTCCCTCCCCAGCAGCTCAGCTCCCAGGCTGGTCCCTGAACCAGGTGCCCTTCCTTCCACCTTCCACCCAGCCTCCTGGAGGCTACCAGGGCAGGGCTTTTAGCTCTCCATACCTGGGTGAGGACCCTAGGCGATGGGGAAAGCTGTGCCTTGCTGCCTAGCAGGGGTGCTGACAAAGTAGGCTGTGGGTCACACTAATCTCGGGTTTGGGAGGGAGAAGGGCACTGCCCTGCTATTATAACTTTCCTTTCAGGGTAATGACGGGGCCCAGTACCTCAGTCCTCCCTGCCAACTCCTACACAGAGGACCCTCCACTGTTGCTGCGGCCTGACAGCTCTCTCTCCTCTGCAGGCACTACCACAGCATTGAGGTCTTCACCCACTACGACCTGCTCACTCTCAATGGCTCCAAGGTGGCTGAGGGCCACAAGGCCAGCTTCTGTTTAGAGGACACAAATTGCCCCACAGGTGCGCAGTTTCCTATCAGCGTCTACCAGCATATCCTGAGACCAGGCTCCCTCTGCCTTGTGCAATAGCCCCAGGCACCTGGAGACCCTGGCTTGGAAATTTAGCACTCAAGACAACTCGAAAAGATCGATTTCTGACCTTCTGAAATCTTAGGCAGAAGGTTTTTACTTGCTTTGAATTCCCAACACACTTTGTACCCCTTTTAACATGCTTAGCACTTTCTACCTTGGATTGTCGTTGCAGATCTGTCTCACCTGTGCTAAGCAACCTGAGGGCAGGGACTGCCTCATTCCTATCTGCACAGCCACAGTCCCTATCCCTTAGGAATGGCTCATAAACACTGGGTCCAGGCTGGGCACAGTGGCTCACGCCTGTAATCCTAGCACTCTGGGAGGCCGAGGCAGGAGGATCGCTCAAGGTCAGGAGTTTGAAACCAGCCTATGCAAGAGTGAGACGCCGTCTCTACTAAAAATAGAAAGAAATGAATTGGCCAACTAAAAAATATATATAGAAAAAATCAGCCGGGCATGGTGGTGCATGCCTATAGTTCCAGCTACTCGGGAGGCTGAGGCGGGAGGATTGCTTGAGCCCAGGAGTTTGAGGTTGCTGTGAGGTAGGCTGATGCCACGGCACTCTAGCCTGGGCAACAGAGTGAGATTCTGTCTCAAAAAGAAAATAAAAATAAAAAAACACTGGGTCCTTAGAGTGTTGGATGGATAGATGGACAAATAAATTAGCACAGTGGAGCTGGAATCTTCCAACCACATTTTCTAGGCCAACAAGAGTTTCTGCTAGAGCATCTGAAGTAAAAATCTTTTTTCACAGATATGGTGTGCTAGGGTGCTCAATTCATAGCAGGAATTCTGTCTCTGGTATACAAGGAAGTTATTTAACTGAATCTCAGGTCTTTAATCCATCAACTGGGCATAATTGCACTAAACTGGCAAAGTTGGTGTCAGGATTAAATGGTAAAGTTTGTGAAAAATCTAGCAGAGTGCTTGGTCCTGAGTACCTACTCAGTGCCTCAGTAAATGTACCCTTCCTTACAGGACTGCAGCGGCGCTACGCGTGTGCCAACTTTGGGGAACAGGGAGTGACTGTAGGCTGCTGGGACACCTACCGGCATGACATTGATTGCCAGTGGGTGGATATCACAGATGTGGGCCCTGGGGACTATTTCTTCCAGGTAAGGAGGCTGGGGGACTCTCCCCAGAGTCCCATTTTCTCCAGATGTTCCACAATGTTCCCTGAAGTCAAATAAGGGAAAAAAGTTTCATACATAATATCCCCAACAGGCCTATCACTTGAAGGAGCTGTGCCGTTGGGGAAAGAACACATTGGGGGAAGTCACAACTCCTTAGTTATGACTTCTCAGTCCCCGTCCATAAAATGGGGACATTAATGCCTACCTCCTGGGGTGACAGTAAGGACTGAAGACATGAACAGAAACACTTTGTAATGCTACATGAAATGTAAGGGAGTGAGTGTTACAGCCACTGTCAGCTGACTCAGAAACCAGATCACCATTTTCAGCAGTCTCCCTTGTCTCATTCCAGGTGGTGGTGAACCCCAAGTATGAGGTGGCAGAGTCAGATTTCTCCAACAACATGATGCGTTGCCGCTGCAAGTATGATGGGCACCGGGTCTGGCTACACAACTGCCACACAGGTAACTGAGCCACTGTGGGAGCAGCCTTGTATGAGCTCTAGGAGCTGGAGTACTGTCTCCCAGGTGTGTGACTTGCACCTGTAAAAGACCAGGATGGATCAGAGATGAATTTCCTTTGACAGCTTCACAGGTAGATTTCTAGTATTGGTCAGACCATCAGCCTCCCCAATAACTACTTCTACATCCCTGTTTGCATGTAAGGCTGTCCAATTGTAAACTTAGTTTCCAATCTGTCCTAGAATTTTTCCTGTCACCTCAAGCCATGTCAGGATTTTTCTTTTCCAGTCTGTTATTTTTCCTTCTGTTTCATATAGTCTTTCTCAGCTGCCTCCATTCTAAGCTGAGTATCTCACAGGCAAAAGTAGAAGTCTCCTTGCTCTGTGTTGCTATCTCCAGCTGTGGTCACTGCTTGCAAGAAGGGACAATGGAGAACAGGGACACTAACGGGATTGGTAGCATCAAAGGAAGAGGCATGATACAGTGGGGGCAGAGTAAGGATGTGGCTATTCTACTTGTCAGAAAAGAATCTCTCTACCTTCAAGTGTAAAAAATGCCTGTATTTACTATGGCATTCACACCCATACTTGCATATGTGGGGTGAGTGGGGTAGAGTTGTTCATTGAGTCAACAAACATTGAGGCTTACTGTGTTGAACACTGTGCTGGGAACACAAATGTAAGATACGGGAGCTCAGGGTCAAGTAGGGTATGCACACATGCAAATAGATAACTCCAACACTACTGAGTACCCAAGACAGGTATGAACTAAATACTGAGCAAACACACAGAGAAAGTAACAAGCTGGGGCTAGAACAGATTTTTGAGGAAGTGATATTTGAGCTGGGTTTCAAAGGAGGGGCAGAAGTCAAAGAAGGGAGGAGCAGGACAAAGAGCATAAGACTGGGCTTCGGTAGGTTTCACTGGGTCCCAAACCCAATCCCACCACTTTCTAGCTGGAGGGCAGTGAGGAAAGCTCAACCTGAGTTTCTCTTTTGTAAAATGGGGCTGTGTACTTCAAATCTACTAAGTACTAAAGTTCTTGCAGGGAGGGTTATAAGAATGGACTTTATTTTGTGGGCTTCTAGGAACTACTGATAAATTCAGTCAAGGAAACAAAAGATCATTTACGTTTCCAAAAAATAACTGGCAACGATGGAAGACAGAATGAAAAGAGGAAGAATAGTCTGAGGTTTTGAATCTGTGTGACTGAGTAGATTTCGCTGCCATTAAATGAGACACAGATATGTATGAGAAGAATCAGGAACTGGAATCTGAGGCTGCACACATGGAGAGAGCAGATCTTCCATAATGCTAGGATCAAGCTGCAAGAGATCCCGGCAGTGAGGAGGGAAAGAAAAATAATACTGTTCTGTAGGTCCTCTTGCAGATGATTAGAGACCCATCAGTATTTTTGCAGAAAACAGAAGACACACTTGGGTGAGAGTCTGAAATTATTTAATGAAAGGACTGTTTATAGAGGTGTGCATAGGACTAAGGAGCTAAGGATGTTGAAGCATCCAGGGATAAACAGGAGTGGAAAGCTATCACCTGCTTTAGGCTTGAAGGGGCAAGGGCTGTGCTGGAGCCAGGTGGAAGCTGGAGTCATGGAGGAGGGTAAACCTGGCTGGAGCTGGAGTCAGACTGTCACTGCCAGAACTGCAGGGCCAAAGCACCTAAGCAGGGGGAGAAGTACCTGACCTCTCTCTTTTCACCCTCTAACCTCATACAGTTGCTTCCCATTGATTGACCTAACTCAACCCGAAAACAGAGGACAAGAGAGCCACAGTGATGTAATCCCTAGGGGTCAGTTTAGCAGGGCACAGAGAAAATCAAAGACAGAGAATGAATCTGGGGAGGGGGCAAAGGAGAATAACCAGCACAACTCTCCACTCAAAACCCTACATATCCTGATGGCTCTGAAGCCACACACCTGGGGTGTGTCCAGGACCTATTTCTATAGAATGGCTGGTGTCTGCGCATGGCTGACCTGATGTGAAGGACAAACTGGGCAGAATGGATCTATGTTGAAGTTGTCCGGGAGGATGAGACTGTGGCAGGGTTGCTACTTACCTGTTTTCCTTTGGCCCACAGGAGATTCATACCCAGCCGATGCAGAGCACTCCCTGGAGCAGGAACAGCGTCTCAGGAACAACCTCATCTAAAGCCGTCACTGCACACTCCTAGCTGCTGTCCACACACCAGATACCTCAGCTTATTGGAGCCATGCCCTTCACAGAGCCCTAACTCAGAGGAAAAGGGGCCAGTGCCAAGGGGCACCAAGAACCTGCTCAGGAAGCCTTTTGATGGCAAGATCACCAATCCAGATGGTATTGCTCCTGCAGAATGGCTCTGGGCCTGTCCCCCAAGGGCCTGTGGCCTATGGAGCATGGCTTCCAGGCTTTGTTCAGCTGAGCTCCTCTTCCATAAGGAGACCCAGTCTTTCCTGGATCTTGCTGCAGTGTTCCTGGGTTCAGGAGCTCTCAGTTCCTCAAGGATGGACTACGGCCCTGTCCCCCATCTAAGTGGTGCTTGCAGATGTCTTGGAGGAGTAGAAGACAGAGGACCAAAATACACAGTAGGTGGGGTTAGCTCTGTGCTAGGAGCTCAAAGCAACATAATTTGTGTCAAAGTCACAAGTGGCAGAGAAGCTGGTGAATTCTGTTCCTTGCTTCATCTGTCTTCATTTAGAACTCACCTCTTACACTCTGCTAAGAGTCCATTCTTCAGTGTCCTCACCTTTACCCTATTGCACACATGGATGCTTCTGACTCCCCTGGAAGCTTAGGCCTCAGGCATCCCCTGATTGCCTGATGAGCCACCACCACCAGTTATTGAGTGCTTGAGAAGAGGCAAGTTTCACAGAAGTGGCCAGAGAGGGCCTTCCTGCAGAGCACCGAGAGTAGGCCTCAGAAAGACTGCTGAGGTAATATGGACCCTAGCCCCTGCCAAGGAAAACATATGTGCCATTTACCTGGCAGGCAATCCAATCTCTCTCAGGATCACCATGCATCTCAGGACTGGCCTAAATTCCAAGTCTCAACCAAGTACCTGGAATGAATTTTTCATTGCATAAATTTTTGCAATGGAAAGAACATCGGTCAAACAAGCCACTCATCTCTACAGAAATATGTAGACAGGTCTAGTAGAATGAGACAGAAGACTATGGAGAAAGCAGAAGAACATTCAATTTAGTTAAGGATAGAACCCAGAAAAGAGCACCATCCCTGCTTGAATGTGGCTGTGATATGCTCTTGCTCAGGTGGCATAAAATCCAATGGTCTTCTTGACATGATTCTTGAGCTTTTCTCCACTGAGACATACTTAAGAGATGATCTTACAGGTCTGACACCCTAATGCCAATAAAGGTTATGACTGCTACAAAGACAAGACCAGCTGTGCTTATGTATACTTCCTAGCGCACTAATTCTACCCCTTTTCACTCCCACTGAGCTGGGGACTAGGGTGCACAGGGCACATATAATATTCATGGCAGCCCCACTACATTTCTCTAATCAGCTATCAGCTGACTGTCTGCTTCCCAATTATTCTCCCCTGGCTCAGTGCTGAAAGGCAGGTTAGAAAGGTAAGGGATGAAAGGTAGGGGCAAGAAAGTAAAACCCAAGGACTGTAAACTTTTATAACTGAGACTGCAAAGCCAAAGTAAGTGGTAGCAGATGGGGCAGATTTCCAACAGTACTCCCTTCCCCACATCACAGGAGCTAAGACCCCCTCCTTAAGGAATAAAAAAAGACATATTCTGGGGTACCCTCTAGGAATACAAAGAAGTGTTCTCTTCCTTCTCCCCGACATTCTCTCTTCTCAACTCCCTCATCTCCTTCATTAGGCAGAGGGAGTGCTGTATTTTGGCATGGCAGTTTAGGTAAACAAGGGAAGGACTGATTTCCTGTTGGACCCAGCAAACATACCCCCAAACAACAACAACATTATATTCACACATGCAACTAATGGTCTGTGAAAGAATGTGCAGCTAGCAGGGCAGCGTGTGGTGACTGATGACTAGATCCAGGCAGGGAAGTTACCCACAGCTTTTTGTTGGATCTAGTTTCCAAGAATGCCAGAAAAAGCAGGCCAGGCAGACAGCCACTGGCTCTGGTCTCAGTCTTGCTGCCCACATCACACGTCTGATAGGTGTAGCAACTTCTAATTCTTGGAAAAAGCTATACAAGGGTTGCACTGTTATACCTCTGAGTTGAAAGGGCAGGACATGGGAAGACTGATGGCTGGCATGACTTATAACTAGATGAGGAATGCTAACAGAATACCAACCAACCGATTCCAGAAAGAACCGAAAATGTCAGAAGACTTTCCACCTCAGCATAGTTTAGCCTCAGGGAAACTAAAGTGCTAAGAATCTCAGCTTACTCTTCAGAAGCCTAATTTACCTTTATTCTACAAAGACGTTCACTCTATGAAGAGCATATTTGAACTCATGGGAAATGTACTATTATAAATTTCAGGTGATCCTGGGATTTAGATGTTCAGCACATATGAAGCAACATATATACATAGCAGAGTGTATTAGCTGTCTTCCCAAATAACAAAGGAGCCCGTGGCAGCTACAGGTGGTCTCTAGCTAACCCAGCTTGTAAAGGCCTGGTTTAGATATGGCTAAGGATTTGATTACCATCTGGACAAACTTGATATAGTCTGTGCTGGGCCATGGCAGGACCTGTTATCTCTAGCTAGTATACATCAATCCCACTACTAGAATAATATAACTAAAAAGCATATCCCCTACTAATGGTAGAAGCAGTTGCACTCCCTAAGTTTTAAGTGTTGCCTGAAAAAAAACTGTTTGGGTCTGGTTGTAAGAATTAATCTGAAAGAGGTGGCTGATTTTTAGCTGAACAAAAAGGATGGGCTATAGCATTAAAATGAGAACCAAAGTAACTTCTTGAAATTATGAGGACTATAACAAAACTGGGTAAGAAATATGCGGTTGTATGTTGTCACTAACAATGTCCCTAAAAGCTATAATGTTGTCAGAAAGGAGACTACCCTCACAGGCAAATGAGAGGAGCATTCATGTATTGTTTACTGTCCAAGGTTACTCTTGGCCTTGAAGAATCAAAGTAGAGCAAAGGTCTGGCTCAGAGGTACACCATTAACATGAAGTGTGGCTGCAATTCCCTACATTTCCTTTCAAATGCAGCCATGCCATTCAAATGGACCTGCCTATCTTAGAGAAGTCTGTTCCGTGAAGACAGAGAGCACAAGTCCTGCAGCTATAAGCCAAAGAGAGGGGCATTGGACAGAGGGTCAAGAGAACAACTTATTTAATCCCCAAACTTGGCATGGAGTCACTGAACATGAATAAGGGGCACACAGAACCAAGAATGAGAAAAACAATGCTGAGAAACTGTGGGAAGGCTCTCAGACCTGAATAGCAGGAGGGATATTTGGGTCAGAACTAAGACCCAAGGACAGTGTCATTTAAGAAACATTCAAACAGAGCCCCATTCCACCATGTTCTAGGCAATGCTAATAATTCATCATTGTCATGGGCACTAAATCATTAAAAAATGAGGCTGTTGCCCTAGTTGAAAGCACAATAAGACACTTTCTTGCCAAGTCAGCAGCTTAAGGTCTAGTGCTACCATTTCTTCAGTGCAGAACTACTTTCTAAAAACACTGAGAATATATATATGAGATGATGGCTCTGACTTGCCCATGTCCTTTAGGAAATCTCTTACTGCCGAAAGGTGTTTATTTTATCCTGCCTGCTCGTCATTGTAACAGATAGTCTGGTGCTGCTTGCCAAATGCCTCTGGCACAGGCTGAGAAGCTCATACCAAAAACACACTGTGTGCCAGATGTCTTCTGCAGGATGTCAGATTTGACAGAGATGGCAAAAGGCAAGAGGCTGGCGTGGGGGTGCACAAGGAGAACAAGAAAAGGAACTACCACATATCAATCCCAGGATAGTCATTTTTGCAGTATACTCTGAGACAGAGAGATGATCAGCTCTCTACCCAGTAGGGTACAATAAAAGCAACAAATCCATCTAACCCATGCACAGCATTATAGGCATGAAGATAAGAAGACAGCTACCCTCCTATTTCTTTGTGGGAATGACAAAATTGACAAATAACAGAGCAATGTATGTCATAAAACGGGCTTTAATGTCTCCCTCTTACAACATGATATACCTGCTTAAACTGGAACTGGCACACAGCTCCCAAAGGCTGGCTTACTAAGAAGAATGAAGCTGGCATGACCCCTGGCTGCTGTGCAGCTGGAAGAGCCCCAGGCACTGAGCTCATACAAACTCTAGAGTCTAAATATCCGCATCTGCTGCAGTTCATCAACTTTGGAGTTCTGGAACCGGCAGTGTAGCTTCTGTGTATACCCAGTACACCAGACACTGTTCTGTCTCTTGGTATTAACTGCTCCCTACCCGCCCCCTCCCATGCTCCCCATACTGCTTCTCTCAACTTTGTTAGGTAGTAAGGAATGCTCTGTCTTTGTAGGGCCTAAATCTCCCATCATTGCAGGTTTGAATCCTCTGTTCTGTTTTGTATTTGTTTTAAACATCATGGAAGTGTGACCCACGCTAACATGACTTGCCCTGTCCAGAGGACTCTTGGAAGTCACACCTTCCATGTTTCTTCCTAGCTGATGGCTCCCTGCTATTCCCACCACAGTAGAGCAATTCCAAAGAACTGCATTTAGGAGTGAAGACAGGAGTCTATCTTCTTTCGATACCCTGTCAGTCCTTGTCTTGATCTCTTTATCTCTATAACATACACATCTGCATGTACACAGAGCTCTGGAAGGATCCTCTTATCTGAAGACTATGGAAACATTTTCTGATTCATGGAATTATCCCTGTCATTATGTTCAAACTGCAGACTGGTCTCTGCCTTCCCAGATGTCTTCCCGTTGCTTGGCTTCCAACCGTTTCCTCTCTGTAAATAAGAACATTGTTAAACATGGTTGTATACTTCACGTGACCAATGACTTTCCCTTAATCCAAACTGCAAAGCAAAATTTAATCATGAGACAAGTGGGTATCATGGGGCCCAGGACCTGGGCTCTCTTACCTGATTCCCAGAGTTAATACCTTTAACTTTTCAAGTGCATTTTTTTTTTTTTTTTTTTTTTGAGACAGAGTCTCGCTTGTTGCCCAGGCTAGAGTGAGTGCCGTGGCGTCAGCCTAGCTCACAGCAACCTCAAACTCCTGGGCTCAAGCAATCCTGCTGCCTCAGCCTCCCAAGTAGCTGGGACTACAGGCATGCGCCACCATGCCCGGCTAATTTTCTATATATATTAGTTGGCCAATTAATTTCTTTCTATTTATAGTAGAGACGGGGTCTCGCTCTTGCTCAGGCTGGTTTCGAACTCCTGACCTCGAGCAATCCGCCCGCCTCAGCCTCCCAGAGTGCTAGGATTACAGGCGTGAGCCACCGCGCCCGGCTTTTTCAAGTGCATTTTAAGTAGAAATGATACTACCATAAGTCTTTACATTTATTGCTATATAACAGAAAGAGAAAGATCTGGGGCTAACAGAAATTAAAAGTATACAGAATAAGTCAGAATCTAGCAGAACGACAGATTCTAGTCTTGCCTATACACATTTATTTTAATTCTACTTTTTAACTGTGTTTAGTGTGTCAATATAATTGCCCATTATTCCCAGTTTACTGCTCTTTACAAATATTTCAATAGGGATCAAGAATATGTATTGATATTCTTCTTCTACCATGTTGCTCAATGGAAATAGTAGCCCCTGGGCTAATCATATCTCCCCCTCTACAACCTTATTGAAAAAGTATTTCAGAGGCAAACCAAATTTCAATATTTTCAGAGCACTTCCCAGAAGCCAGAAATCTTCTGGAATACATAATCCCAATATGGAAAAATGACCTCATATAATGGAGGAAAGCTAAGGACTATTTCTAAGAACAACAACAACAAAAATGTATAAATCTAGGTAATCCACCTTCAATTTTAATATAGAAGCTTGGGTCTCCATTTAACACTTTCACCAAGACCTGAGAAAATACAGACCATTCCTGGTTTAGTGGCCTAAGCACTTCGTTAGGTGCCAAAATGCCAGTTCCGGCTGCATGGCTGGTCCTTTATCTTAATGCCACAAAATGGTGAAAAGCCTAAATCATTGATGATAAGCTTAAATGCTTCCTTCCAAGGGCTATTGTTCCAGATTAACAATGGCTGTAAAGATTTTCCAAGTCATGAACCAGGGGGATTACAGAAATTAAGGTGAGTTTAGAGTTAACACTTGCTATTTTGACATATCTTTCCAAATCAGCAGAATCCTTTACAAATTCCTATACTATATTTGACTGTACTTTAAGGGTAAAGAAGTTGGTTAGGAAGCTGACTGGCACTTGGAAATGTAAGAAAGAGAAATTCACTGCTATTTGGGCACCATCTTGTGGCATTATCTGAATACAGCAGCAAAGTAACATGAGGCAAAAAATGGGGGTCAGCAAATTACAAACTGAAAGCTGGTTAACACAGTGTCCTGGGACGATGGCAGGCTTGAACTGGACTGAGATTCTCTAGGAGACAGCATAAAGGATAACTGGCTTGTCTAAAGAATTCAGGATCTCTTTGGAAGGTAGTGAAGTTTTGATTCTTATAAACATGAAGAAGTTAGAAGGGAGTCTAAGAGCAAAGCCTTCAATGAAAGCAATCAAAAACTGGTTCCAGATTCCAAGCAAAAGTGAAGAAACCAGAAAAGTGAATTATTAGAACTCAAGTTTTTCAATAAGACATGAAACTTAATTAAATCATAAAGGTAAGATAAGAAGTTATAAGAAAAGAAATCCAGGAGCAATAGAAAAATATGACTGGCCCATAATCCATAGTTCCAAAATCAAAACAGTTCAGAAAATAACATTCCTTTTTTTTTTTAAAGCTTATGGCCAAAACTGATGGATGATGACAAATCTAACCTGAAAGTATATGAGGCTGTTTATAGTCTTCATATATCCCATTTAATGTGAATAGCCATACACTTTGCTACAGAAATATTTAATATGTTTGATTTTGGTGTTATGAAAGTGAAACATGTTATAAATACCATATCACCTTTCTAAAATCTGAAAAGTTCAGAGTTCTGAAGCATTCCCTACCCTATGTTTGAATTTGGTGTTGTGAAACATACTATAAATACCATATCACCTTTCTAAAATCTGAAAAGTTCAGAGTTCTGAAGCATTCCCCACCCTAATGCTTTTTAATAAAATACTGCAGGAGTAAATTCTGATGGTAAATCATATGAAAAAACTAGTAAGAGTAGGAAGACAAATTGAGAAGCATAAAGCAACAGTGAAAATACAAGGCATACATTTAAAATATAGAACATGAATAGAGAAATATAGGTTAGAATAGGATTTAAAAATAATTTCATTTTAAAGATGAGGAAATGGAAGTTTTGAGAGCTTACGTGACTTGCCTAAGGTTACACAGTCAGTGAAGGAACTGAAGCTGGAACCCAGGTCCTCATTTTTTTATTTTTATTTTTTTTGAGACAGAATCTCGCTCTGTTGCCCAGCCTAGAGTGCTATGGCACTAGCCCAGCTCACAGCAACCTGGAAATCCTGGGCTCAAGCTATTATCATGCCTCTGCCTCCCAAGTAGCTGGAACTCCAGGTGTGCACCACAATGCCCGGCTAAGGTTTTCTATTTTTAGTAGAGACGGGGTCTCATTATTGCTTAGGCTCATCTCGAACTCCTGAACTCAAGCAATCCTGCTGCCTGAGCCTCCCAGAGTGCTAGGATTACAAGCGTGAACAGCATGCCTGCCTAGGTCCTTAATTATTAACAAGTATTATCTGAAAATATCTGCAAAGGAAAAAATGTGAAAAAATACACTGACAGAAAGATAAAGCAACATGTTTTCCTTTTATTAAAGAAACAGGAAGGCTGGGCGCTGTGGCTCACGCCTGTAATCCTAGCTCTTGGGAGGCCGAGGCGGGCGGATTGCTCAAGGTCAGGAGTTCGAAACCAGCCTGAGCAAGAGCGAGACCCCGTCTCTACTATAAATAGAAAGAAATTAATTGGCCAACTGATATATATATAAAAAATTAGCCGGGCATGGTGGCGCATGCCTGTAGTCCCAGCTACCCGGGAGGCTGAGGCAGAAGGATCACTCGAGCCCAGGAGTTTGAGGTTGCTGTGAGCTAGGCTGACGCCACGGCACTCACTCTAGCCTGGGCAACAAAGCGAGACTCTGTCTCAAAAAAAAAAAAGAAACAGGAAAGCAGGTAATAACTGATAAATCACATGAAAGAAGGCTCCTATTAACTTTGTCTCCAACAATTAAAAAGGAAACTGAGTAAAGAGAAAGCCCAACAGCAGCATAAGAGCAAGAAACTAGGGGAGAATAGAAAATTTAGCACAAAACAATTAACCTAAACATTCACATAAGCTGGTCTTGAAGACTTTCATTCCCTGATATTATAAATAAATCAATAGAAATGACTATATCAAATGAGTTGATTAAAATCATGGTACAGTTAGTTACCACTTCTAAGGGAAAAAGAACTGAAGACTGAAAAAGGGCCAGTTTGATGTCATGTAGAAAAGAAAAGGGAAGGGAAGGAAGGGAAGGGGAGGGGAGGAAGGAAAGGGGAGGGGAGGAAGGAAAGGGGAGGGGAGGAAGGAAAGGGGAGGGGAGGAAGGAAAGGAAGGAAAGGAAAGGAAGGAAAGGAAGAGGATGTAAATGTAAAGACTTCCAAAATTTGCCTCTACACCTAAGAAAAACTCATCACAAAATCCACTTGTGGCCACCTAGAGATTAATAATCAAGATGCTTTGTAAAGAACACATCTGGTCAAACTAATCTATTATAATTGCTTTCTTTTATGAAGTAACAGACTTGGTTGATCAAGGATAAGTAAGCTAGTAATCTCTTAATTTTAGCAACGTTTTAGATTTTAAGTTTACCAAATACTTATATAATCATCAATATACTGGAAAAATGTAGTTTGGACCACATAAGGGAGCATTTAACTCTGGAGAACAGAACAATTACCAATGTATTAAATCTCAACATAAGGAACCATGTATTATTTTAGCGATAGCTGGTGACCTGGTCAGTTAGTCTTAGGTTAACATTTTCATCTCTGATCTAGGCAAAGAAATTAAGTTTAATACTAAAAATATGGGTAAATCCTGCATCTCAGAAAAAAAAAATATATATATGTATGTATATATGTATATATATATATATATCACATTGGCCGGGGGCAGTGGCTCACGTCTGTAATCCTAGCACTCTGGGAGGCCAAGACAGGTGGATCATTTGAGCTCAAGAGTTCGAGACTAATCTGAGCAAGAGCAAGACCCCATCTCTACTAAAAATAGAAAGAAAGTAGCTAGACAACTAAAAAATATATATATGAAAAATTAGCTGGGCATGGTGGCACATGCTTGTAGTCCCAGCTACTCAGGAGGCTGAGCCAGGAGGATCACTTGAGCCCAGGAGTTTGAAGTTGCTGTGAGCTAGGCTGATGCCACGGCACTCTAGCCTGGGCAACAGAGTGAGACTTCATCTCAAAAAAAAAAGAAAAAATTTTTAAAAAATCACATTAAAACAAAAGAAAATGTAGTTAGAAATGAAGGGAACTTCAGACATTAGGGGAGAAAAGACACTAAGAAAATACTCTAAGACCCAGATTATGAATCAGCAATGGAGCACTGCCTTTTAAGGCAGAATAATGGAGAGCCTAAAAAGGATTCCAGAAAGTAGCGATTATGATTAAATTTGTTTTATTATAGTTGAGGTATCATATAAAGATGGTTTTAAGTTGTTAGTGTAATTAATCAAACTAGGTAAAAGGATTATTATTTACTTACTCTTGCCTTTCAGGCCTGTGACCCAAAAGATGGCCTTTAAGAACTAATTAGGCTGGGCATGGTGGCTCATGCCTGTAATCCTAGCACTCTGGGAGGCCGAGGCAGGAGGATTGCTTGAGCTCAGGAGTACAAGACCAACCTGAGCAAGCGCGAGATCCTGTCTCTACTGAAAAATAGAAAGAAACTATCTGGACAACTAAAAATATATATATATAAAATTAGCTGGGTATGGTGGCACATGCCTGTAGTTCTAGCTACTCAGGAGGCTGAGGCAGAAGGATTGCTTGAGCCCAGGAGTTTGAGGTTGCTGTGAGCTAGGCTGACTACATGGCACTCTAGCCCGGGAAACGGAGTCAGACTCTGTCTCAAAAAAAAAAAAAAAAAAAAAGAGAAACAACAACAAAAAAAGAAACAAAAAGAACCAATTAATCACATACCCCCCAAAAGTTGAATGGAAAAAAAAATTACAAAATAAAATTATAGTAGGCATTGACAATGAGAAGGTAGCTTATTTTGAGGGGAAAAGATAGCTATCTCCAATTTTAGGTGGCAATCAACATGTGAATAAGTGGAACATGAGAAATTTTTACACATATCCATGAGTTTGGTCTTAAAAATGTGGCTTTATCATTTAATACGAATCACTGGTTTAAAACATGTGATTAAGTGAAATACAAAGCACTCAAGAATGATCTATAATTCCATTTCCCACTTTTAGTGTAGATCTAAGAGTGGCTCCGCATGCTACTGGACCAAAAGATATTTCTCCCATGTTTAGAGACTAAATACTAAAGCTCCCTTCCTCCTAATCTATATGATGTGCTTTGCTTAAAATGATTGGGGTACTTCCTTCTCAATTCTTCCAAGAGCTTTAAATTCTGAATCTTCTTTTTAAGGACAAAGGCATACACCTCTCATTTAAAAAGAATATCAAAAGTATGGTGAAAAATCTAGCAGGAAACTATTTAAAACTCAAAATCATGAATTCCAAATTCATTATTTAAGAGGGTTTTATATGCCACATCTAACTCTGGGTTTTATAAAGAAAACCATTGATGGAAGACTGAGAAAGCGTTCAAATGGAGTCATGAATAAGATTTATGAAGAAAAATTAAAGTAAGCAATGTCATTCATGTATTCCATCAATGAACATGTACTGAGTATCTTTTTATGTCCCAGGCACTGTCTCAGACAGCAGAACTCTTCAAGTGGGAGAAGAAAGCCTGGTAGAATATATATTTTTAATAAAAGTACCTACACTAGGATACTATATAGATTTTAATCCCTTTGCTTAATTATGGTAATGGCCATGTCAAAACTCACCAAGAATGTCATGACTGATTTAGTAATACCTGCTATATGCAATGGATAGGGAACCGCAGTATATAATACATATTTGTTATTACTAGCTCATATTATACTGAACACTCAATTCCCAACATAAACAATAATATCCTGAATTTGTAAAGCACTTTTCTAAACATCTTTACATATGTTAACTTATGTTGTGCTCAAAAAATTCTTCATAATTAGGTAAGAAGAACATTACTTTTACTTTGTTGGAAACTAGGGCACAGAGAGGTATAACTGACTTATCCACGGCCACACAGCTAGTTAATAGCAAAAGCTCTATTACAGCCTAGATTCCCTCATTCCTAAATGATCTGCCCCTGATTTTTATAGTTAAAGGTTGTTAACAGAGTGGTGTTTGGATGTTCTCTATTTCTACTTAGAAAAAAAGAAGAGGAGACTGGTTTAAACTATCATGTAGATTTAAATAGAACTAAAGACGATTTTTCTGACAGTGAAAAGCTGCTAACCACTCATACAGGTAACTAAAAAGAAGCTTTCCATATTTCATTCTCTGGAGACTTAAAAAAATTTATATATTTTTCAGAGATAAAATATTACCCCATCAGTCCTTCATGGGGAATTACAAAGTTATAGAACAAACATAGGTTTTAACTAGAGAGGCCTATATTCAAATGCTTCCTCTCATTTTACCACCTAGATGACCTTAGGACAGTTATTTAACTTCTCTGGGCCTGCTCTAAACTTGAGATAATACCATTCTTCACAGCTTTATCATAACACAATACCATCATATGTTACATTGATTGCTTGGAGTTTCTTTCCAGTCCTTTTAAACAACAAAAGCCTTTTTATGGTTCTTAATCTAAAAATCTTTAGAACTGAAGAGGAAAAATGACTGCTTAAAATACCTAAAAGAGGTACATATTTTCTTCCCTACTCAAGACAGATATACCCACTAGATTAAAGAGAGGAACAAAATCTTGCCATCTCTCTAATTCTCCTAAATAGAGAACACAATGTTTTACACAGGACAGATGCTCAGTGAATGCTAAATAGAGTTGACAGAATATAGGAATTTTAAAATAAAGAGTAATGACAAAAAGCATGCACTGGAATCTGTGCTGGATTCACCATATAATGATACTGCTCCTATCACTAATAAAAACAGCAACAGCTAACACTTATAGAAAAGGAACAAGAGAGTTCCTACGGTTTTTGAAGATGACTATACATCTTTCATGGATTATCTCAGTTGATTTCCATTTTATGGATTAGGAAACAGAGGCCTCCAGAGAGTAAGTAATTTGCTCAAAGTCACACAGCCAGTGAATGGCAGACCTAAGATGTGGACCCCGACAGTCTGATTCCAGAGTCTATAATGCTATCAACTATGCTACATTGATCCTTCCTTGTCCAGTGGAAGAAGAAAAGATTTGGAACAAAAATATCTTCTGCTTAATACCTAAACAGTACTTTTGCTTTCCACAGGAAAAAAAAATCTTTAAGTAAGAAACCTTGGGCAAGCTCATGCCTTGGGTAGGCAAGCTCATGAGTATGTGACCAATACAGAAAGAGGTCAGAAAGAGATACATCAGGAAATTTTCCAGATGCATCTCATCAGATATGAAGAATGGGAGAGTTCTGGAGCATAATAAAGGAGGAGTCCTATATAATCCATATAGCCTAAGCACCAATAGGTAGAAGGAACTTATCACAGTCGGTCTCTATTCACAAATAAAGGCCTTCTTTAGAAAATAGTGTATCTTCTTAGCCAACAGTCTCGTTTATAATTGCATCAGTGAAATGTCCTTTGTACACCTAGACATTTAAAACAAATACTTTAAGTGGAGCTGCATGCTGATGTGCCTCCAGAGAAAGAGAGGGGAATACTCAAATAATATCCATGTAAAACAACTGCTGCAGTATGTGTAGAGATATAGGTGATATTGCACCCATAGGGAAGCATGATACATTGCAAAAGGATATATATTTCTTATATATATGGTGTATATATATATATATCACTATTATGCTTTATTGATCTTTTGAGATAACGGTGGCTATCACATAGAAATCACTTTCCTCAGAGATAACCAATTAATAAATGGTTAACAATATTGCACATTCTTTTTTAATCTAGTTCTGTTTTGCTATCTATAAAAGCCAGAGGAATCCTCTTCTGTTTCTATAGTCTGTAAGAGGCCTTTGAGTGAACAATTCACTGGGAAAAATCAAAACTGCCTCATTATAATCATTAAGGTTTTGAGACTTAGTTGGGCTCAACTCTGAAACTCTAGCACCTGCCACGACACACATTGTCACAGTTATCTGACCAGTGCAGCTGAGAGCCTGCAAGCTGCCTGCTATCACCAAAGCAGAGAGGACAGGAAGTATTAATGGCCTTGTTAGACTGGCAATAAACAAGGAGTTTGAAACTTCAATTCATTTAATGAAAAAATGAAGTTACTTTTCAGTAAGTAGAATTTTCGGAATAAATTGCCTTCACAGATTCCACAGATTGTAGGCTAAGGGAATGAGGCTGTCTAAAGCCTGAAGGTTGATAAAAAGTACTTAAGTGCCAAGCTGGAGTCCCAAGCCTTTACATACAATTCAACAGCCTATAAAGGGAGGAGATCGATTTTAACCTCAACTCCAAATTATAAGAAAAGAAAAACTCTGCTTGTGGATCAGTGGAAATATTTCTTTGAGTGAGTGCTCTTGGATCCTGGAAAATAATCAGAAGACAGGTAAATCTAGATATACTCTAATGGAGCCACTCAGGATTGTCTTAAAAAGACAAAAATACCTCCTACAGTTATTAACATTGATGTCAGCTGCTGGCTTTTCCTTAATTTGTCTTTTCCTCCGATCTAAACTATTTGATAACATCATGGCAATATCATGGTAATCACAGCCCAGTAAAACTACAACAAACAATGTTTTCTGCCTAGAAGACTATTATGTCTTCACAGGAAAAATTTTCTCAGAGTTTAGAGCAAAAACTATAGAAAAAGCCATGGATGAGCTGAGAAGGCCACGCCTCTCTTGGAAAACAACAATAGGAGCAAGGATTAGGTGGCCTTGGAGTGTGGAACAGGCAGACAGATTTTGAAATGTCTTCTTCCTGATTATAGGGCATAAAAATTTCTATACACTTGGGAGGCTTCTAGGAAATGGAAATGACAAAATAGAGTGGGCTTCATTTTTTTTTTTTTTAAATATGTGCCTTTACAGTGAGCTCCAGAGGGACTAGAGAACACTATCCCTTCAACTCACCTCGGGCTTCCTGCAGTTTCTTGAGCTCAGCTTCCCGTTCTGTTTTGTTCTGCTTACTTCGAACCCCAAGGGCACTGATGACTAACCTTCTGGCCAGGGCTGCTGAAGTCTCAGGACGCTCCTTTGCTGGCTGGAGGAACTCTGAATGGAAGAAAGGGAGGGAGTAAAGAAGAGAAAGCACTCCAGCTCCAAGTGATTTAACTCAGTAATTAACATACAAAATAGACTAACAAGGGCTGCATCAGCAGTAATTAATACAAGCCTGATAGATGATGATCAGAGGAAATTAACATGGCAAAGCACAAACAACCCTGGTTTCATTATCTGCATTAACACAATTTCTTACAGTGACTCTATCAAACTGCTAAACACAGAGGTAAACTAGGTAGGGATGTCATCAGAAACTGGTTGTTGCATTGTTTGCAGTTAGTATCACACACTCTCCAAGTGGCTACTCAGATGCCACTTTTCCAACATGGCCATTTCTCTTTTCTTTTTTTCCTTAAAAAAACACTTCTTTTAACACTAAAAATAAAAATGATATGTCTTTAGAAGTCTGGATATTGTAAAACTGCTGGAAAGAACAATAACACCACCATCAATAAGAAAAATATTCCAAAGTTTATGAGCTTACCAGCATAAGCTCTAGCTTTGGCCTTGGCTGCTCTTGTGGCCTGTGACAAGGGCCGGATCTTCACCATGGTATGTTTAATACCCAGCGCATCACGAGCTGCAAAGAGGAATAAATATTACAAAGTAGAAGACATGAAGTAGAGTGATGCGAAAGAAAAATTTAGGGCTTATTCTTAAAAAATATTTCTTAGATGTTATGCTTTTTTTCCTAAATCAAGCAAAAGAGATGGTAACATCTAGAAAATCTGTGAGAAATAACTTGGCAGTGATTATTTTAGATCAAGGATCAGCAAACTATGGTTACATAGATCAAATACAACCAGCCACATGGTTTTGTAAATAAAATTTTACTGAAACAGAGCCATGACCACTTGTTTGTATATTATCTGTGGCTGATTTCTTGTTACAATAGCAGAGTTAAGTAATGACAGAGACCTTATGCCCCAAAGCCTAAAATACCGTATTTACTATTTGCCCCTATACAGAGTAAGTTCACAGACCTATACTTTAGGTGGTTCAGACAGGAACTAACATTCCAACACCTCTAATTTCTTTGAAAGCCTCTGCATCATGAGGCCAATGATATATGTTTGAAAAAAAAAGGCCCAATTATATATTCATCGAGTAGGTATTACAATTTCTTACTGAAGAGGTTAGAAGGGCTACTTCTAATTCATTTGTCTGGGAGAAAAAAAAAAATCACAAATATTATAAGATTTAGTCCCACTGGTCTTAAATCTCTACCTGTAACCTATTTATGCACTATCATGACTGATGGTTATATATAATAATGGTGGAAGGAGTGGACTATCTCTTCAAATACCATTGAGATAAGGTAAAAAGGGACAGGAGAAGCACATGGGTACAAAAGCACCATGCCTCAGAAACTTGTATCTGTCCTATTACCTACACTGGCTGAATAAAATGCCAACTGGCTGAAACAGAAGGGAAATAGGAAAAAATAGCATGAGAAAATGTACAATAAGAAAGGAACACTGAAATCTATTGGGTGAATACCTGTAATTGGACTGGAAAATACTCCTAGTGCATGTGTATCATCCACCCATTTAATATCAAATCCTTTCTTTCTGCAACAAAAGAAAACAATTTTATTTCCTAAGATAAAATTTACTTTTATGAAACACCTTTCAAATAGAATCTCATAAAGTATTTCATGAGATAGAGAAACACTGAACGAGCGCACAGGTGGAATGGGGATAATGACACAAAAAACAGCTTGGAGGACATAAGAAGCCACTGAATTTTAAAAGCAATAATACCACCATAAAGAACTACCCAGGAGTGTTTTACATTCTCAGCCATTTTATAGACATCAACTAATTAATCCTCACAAGTCCCTTGGGGAGATAAAGTATTTAATGCACTATTTACAAGAGATGTTCTTATGGGCAGGGAACAAGAAGAGATGGAAAGAGGAAGCAGAGGAGGGGTAGAAGAATATAAGAGGAGGAGGGAGGCAGACAAGGTCACCTGGATTTAATGCAAATGTAAACTCTGTCCTTGAGGGAGGGAGGGAGAAGGGAGGGGGAGGGGGAGGGGGGAGGGACAAACAGAGACTAAGATATCATTCAAATTTTTAAAAACTCAAGTAATGGGAAAAAAAGGACAACTATTAATAAAATCATCTTTCCTATTGCAGAGGGGAGGTTAAAAAAGGGGAAGCGGAGAATAGAAAAGAATTGTGGCAAAGTCAGAAAAATTTAGGATAAAAGAAATCATGATAAGAGAAATATTAGACCAGATTAGAAAGAATCAAAAGAATCAACATTTAAGTACTAGAAAAACGCTTTTATTTTGGAGCAGAGCTATGTAGTGAGCATAAAGAATATCAGGATGATGACATAACAGTTATACTTTACAGCTACAAGCTTAAAACTTGCTCATGGACTCAATATAGTTCAGTGGAAAGAGCAAAAGTTTAAGGGTCAAATATAAATGGACTCAAGATTCTGCTACATTCCAGGCACGGCGGCTCATGCCTGCGATCCTAGCACTATGGGAGGCCAAGGTGGGAGGATCACTTGAGCTCAGGAGTTCAAGACCAGCCTGAGCAAGAGTGAGACCCCATCTCTACTAAAAATAGAAAAATTAGCAACATGTGGTGGTGCACTTCTGTAGTCCCAGCTACTTGGGAGGATGATCACTGAGCCTAGGAGTTTGAGGTTGCTGTGAGCTAGACTGACATCACAGCACTCTAGCTTCTGCTACCTTGAAACTTTGGGCAGGATTAATCTCTTTTGATCTCAAGTTGTTGTGAAAAAGGAAATGAGATCATTCATAACAAGTCCAAGAACATGGTGTTGAGCGCTTGGTGAGCATTTAATAAATGAATGGTGCTCAGTATTTTTATTATTAAGAGTATTAATGCAGATAAAGATGAGTAAAATATGAAGTTGACTCTGGTATTTGACTCATAGGCATTATTAGGCTTTTGCACCAAGGCCTTTTTTTAAAAATTTTTACAACTCACTATAAAGAAAAAAGACAACTGCTAAAATATCTCCTCTCTTTAATGATCATTCAAGAAAAAAAAAAAAAGATCCTTTTAGGGAAAAAGGAATAAAGTAGGCTTTGAAGGTTAGAGAATTTCCTGAATACAAGGGCAAATGTGACCATGAGATGAAGTAACTACAGGGTTGAAGACTGTGAAAAAGTTCAATAATAAAAGTCTATATACAAAAAGGATAGGAAAAAAACCTAGCTGGGTTTGGGAGAGTCTTTTAGACTTCAGAATTTCATAATCCTTTAAAATTCTCTTTTGAGAATGTTTTTGAATTTGACAGAAAAATGATCTTGCAGGTAAGCTTAAGAAGAAACAAAGCAAAGAGAAGTAAATAATTCATAAGAATTAACTAATATTCAAAAAATTCTAGACATCAACAAAATTATCCTTGATTGTAAGAATTGTTATTATTAATGGCAATCTAAGGTAGTTCTAATTTGGGATTTAATCTCATTGATTGCTCTTAAAAATCTATTATGAACTTTATATTGAACAGGCCTGATACTGGGTCTTAACTACAATTAGACTGAATGACCTACACTATATATTTAAAGTTTATGGTAGAGAAGAGATTAACTGTCCTGTAGGATCCATTCACCTCTTCTTTTTCTGTTACAGAACTGATACTTGCCCTCAATCAAGTTTAACTGATTAACAAGTACATAGCTGCTAGCTAGTTGTGTTTGTTCTAGAACTTTATATAAAAACAGAACACTTGTTTTTATAAATGAAGTTTTATTTTACAGCCACACTTGTTTATTGTCTATGGCTGCTACTATGTAATAAGAGCAGAGTTTTCTAAAATATTTATTATCTGGTCCTTTAAGAAAAAGTTAGGGGCTATACCCTGATATAGAAACTTACAAATTGAAGATGTATACATGAATTGAATTTTAAGCTTAAATTTGTTGCATCACACAACAGATCTGACTCATTTGTAATATCAGGATTGAAATGTAAGTATAATCAATCCTTCATGATACTGAGTTTCTTCCAGACCCTGAAAATCTTTTTATTATTAACTTCATTTCTAGATTATCTCTTTATTGCTGAAGCTAGAAATGCAGAGGTATACCTCTGACTCTTTTACCTTCTCCTATATATGTATCAACTGTATACATACAGTTAGTGCAACTGTTCTGAACCCCACTTGAATCAGTTCAACTTGATATTTTGACTATATAATTTAATTAAATAAAATTAAACCAATGAACTATGAGTATAAAAAAGAGTAATTTCTATAAAGACTTAGTCAAGGCCAAGTGCAGTGGTTCATGCCTGTAACACTAGCACTTTGGGAGGCTGAGACGGGAGGATCATTTGAGGCCAGGAGTTCAAGATCAGCCTAGGCAACTTAGCAAGATCCCCATTCTCTACAAAAAGTAAGAAAAATTAGCCAGGCGTAGTGACGCATGCCTGTAGTCCCAACTACTCAGGAGGCTGAGGCAGGAGGATCACCTGAGTCTAGGAGTTTGAGGTTGCAGTGAGCTATGATGATGCTACTGCACTCTAGCCCAAGCAACAGAATGAGACACTGTCTCAAAAACAAACAAATGAACCAACAAACAAACAAAACTCAGGTCAAATGCTTTGGAAGACTAGAGAAAGATAAAGTCACTAAAAAAAAGCGCAAAAAAAATTATCAATTATGTTTGGGCAAAACACCCATAAAAGACAGGAAACATTTTAGCCTATAAGGAATATGTACTGAGTTGACTCTGAAAGTATGTTAAAATTCTTGCTCTACTTTAAAGAAATGACACTAAATCGTAGATGAGGTATCAGAATGGTGACTTACAATAACTCTTCTATCAATACACCAATAACTTAAAAAAAAAAGTGTGGGGGGAGGGAGCTTGACACCACATCAAAAGACTGGCAAGTGAATAGACATTTATATGTGTTAAAATAAAATAGTTGAGACATACAATAATTTTTTAAATCACTCTCCATTTGACTATTTCTAAGTGGCCAGAAAAACCTCAAATCAATCATTTAAGTTAGAGTGCTCCTGGACTGTTATATACCCTCTCAGGAAAAACTCTTTCAGTGTAGACCTCAATTCCCATAAATAAAATTCCAAGGAAAACCATAACTCATAGTAAAAAATAACTAAATCCCCCAAAAGTAAGGCACTGTAAGCAAGAATTTACAAAAACAAACAAAAATACCAGAAACAGAATTAAAAGGAGTTTGGGTAAAGGAATTACCAGAGACTATTAACATTCAATATACTTAAAGAAATATTTTTTAAAATCTTGAAAATATCTTAGAAAACAAACTGTAAAAATGACCATGCAAATTTGAAAAAGAAACAAAGAGAACTTTAAAAAATAAAAAACATAATAAAATGAAATTTTAAAACTCAATTTTAACAGCACTTAACCACAGCTGAAGAAAAACATGAGTAATCTAGAAACCATAGCTAAAGAAATTATTCAGAATGTAACAGATACAAACAGATGGAAGGCAATTTTAAAGAAATAATGTTTGAGAGTTCTCTAAAATCCAGATTTAATAAACCCAAATAATCTCAATCAGAATTCTGAAAAAAGAAATCCATAAAGCCTACATCACATAAAGCCACATCACAGTGAAAATATCAAAGACAAAAAGGAATCCTTAAGAATATCCAAAGAGAAAAGAATATATTCAAAAGCAACAGCCGGCTAGGTGAGGCGGCTCACGCCTATAATCCTAGCATTCTGGGAGGCCGAGGTGGAAGGATCGTTTGAGCTTAGGAGTTCAAGCCCAGCCTGAGTAAGAGCAAGACACCATCTCTACAAAAAATAGAAAAAATTAGCTGGAAGTAGTGGACATGCCTGTAGTCCCAGCTACTCTGGAGGCCAAGGGAGGAAGCCTCCTTGAGCCCAGGAGTTTGAGGTTGCTGTAGCTAGGCTGATGCCACAGCACTCTAGCCTAGGCAATAGAGCGAGACTCTGTCTCAAAAGAAAAAAAAGCAACAGCTGTTAAACTGTCAGCTGACTTCTCATCCACAGAGAAAGCCAGAAGACAGTATAATAATATCACATTTGTAAGAGAAAAATAACTGCCAACCTAGAACTTTATACCCAGCAAAAATGTCTTTCAAGAATGAAGCTAAAATAGTCACTTAAAAAAAAACCCAAAACCTAAGTTTGTTACTAGCAGACTGTCACTAAGTTAAATGCTAAAGAATATGCTGCCTGCAGGATAAAATTAATTTCAGATGGAAGGTATAAGATGCAAAAAGGTAAAAAGTGGGTAAATCTGAACACTGAATATATGAAACAATAAATATGAGGGAAAAAATACCTAATCAATCTAAAATGTGGCAAGAGAGAAAAGGATGGGACAAGTAAACACACACATAAAAAGATTACAGGAAATCTAACAATACACCCAAATATAGCAATAATTATAATACAACAAATATAAATGGACTAAATGTACCAGTAATTCATTAGTGATGACAATCTTAAATACTAAAATGGGTCTAGAACAGCTATCTGGCATTTTTAAGGAACTTAAGAGGCTAATTTTGATACAGAAGATTTCTAATGGACCTGGAAAGGACAATAAACCAAACTGATGCTAAACAACAGGAAATATGAAAAACAGATGGTTTTTCAAAAGACATTTTTTAAAACTTCATCCTACCTTCCCTAACACCCACAACCATTTGCATACTTACTGGTAACTGCAAAAAACTCGCAGAAGGTCTTCAGTACGAAATTCTTGGGGGAAGTCATAAATTTCAATGACATGCGGGAATTCACAATCACTGAGGTCAATATCAGGGACGTCATGGCTGTAATAATCAAATCTAGGCTCCTGGATGTTTTCTCTGTTCTTTATATTCCCTGATAACTAGGGAGGAAGAAGCACATAAGTGATTGTTACATCAAACCTGAGCATTATAAATATTATCCCATATATAAATAATTCTCCTCCCTATCTCCATGTTCCTATTCCTTAACCTTTGACATTGTCTCTATTAAATTCTGTTCATGGATATCACCTAGTTTGTATTATACATGTGGAATACTTGAAAAGGTATTGAGATTTCAGCAGACAGTCAATGTATAAAACTTAACTTGCATCTATCAACCAGCGTGTGAGAAAAAAATAGGGTGATTAACATAAAATTAAATAGTGGTGAGTGACAAATGGCACATCATGGAAACTGAATCTCAGACAACAGCTGAAGAGATGAATTAATAATATTTGTTTTAATTGAGCTTATTGATCAGGCTCATATCATAGTTTCCTTTCCAGAAGTAAACAAAAACAAAGCAAATTTAAACAAAAATCAAAAAACTTTCTTAACTTCATTTTTTGTTGACTGTATTAAAGGGTGAGGGGCAGCTTAGAAAGGTATTTTTTAAGACAAATGTAAAGTGGCACAAGTAATATACTTAAGGTCCCTAGTATGACAGCTATCTTACAGTATTCCCATATGGTAGGCCAGTAAAGGAATAAAGGAAGTAATGAAAAATACTTAAAATTCTACCATCCTATAAAAAAACTGAAGCCTATTAACTAGTTCACACTAGAAACAGGAGAAAGGAAAGGAGAAAATGAAAATTAGCAGCAAAACCATGACAGTCATTTTATCATTCCCTATTACAAAACCTAGATTGCTACTACTAACCACCTAAAGCTACCGGATCCTTAGAGTATCTTTTCTCCCTCTCTCCCTCTCTCTCTGTTAATCAAAAGTCTAACTAGGTCCCTCTTTTATAATATGCCTCTTTTCCCATGAAATGAGGAAAATGAGAATTTGCAATGCCAAGGATATATTTAAGGAAGTAAAAAATGGATATAGGAGTTTTATTGAGGAGGGAAGGTGCCTTATGTAACATCAGTAAAAAATTTTATTTATTCCAGTGCTTCTAGTTCCTTTTCTTCACTAAGCATCAGCTTTACATCTAAAAAACAGAAATAATAATAGTATCTATACCTCATAGACAGGTATGTGAATTAAATGAGATGATGTAGTAAGTGCTTAGCATTTACTTATGTTTGGCACATAAGTATTCAATGAATTCAACCTACTTTAAACAAATTTTCACTGAGTGCTAAATCTACTATATGCAAAAATCCTTATTAGTTATACTCTGATAAGGATGTAGAAAGCAGAAGAGAATGTTCCTCCCACCATAACAAGAGAAAAGACCAGCTGATCTATAAAATCTTAACTTTTCTTGAGTTCACCAGGGAGCCAAGTTTTAATACAACCACAGGAACTAAAATCCATAGGACAAATCTCTCCCAAAGACAAATGGAATATATAAACGGTTTCACCTTTGGCAGACCATGTGAAGAAGTGACCATAACACAAAATGGCATGAAATTATCAGCTAAACTTTCAGCAAATTCTTAAAAGTTTAGAGTAGGCTAATGTTAACAATTTAGAATAAATCAGAGCCCCAGAGACAAGGAGTATGCAATAACTTGCAAGTCAATCCTTATGCAGGTGCCACACTGTTTTGATCACTGTAACTTTATAGTAAGCTTTGAAACCGTGAAATTCGAGCCCCTGAACTTTGTTCTTTTTCAAAATAACTTTGGCTTTTTAGGGCACCCTGCATTTCCACTAGAATTTGAGGATCAGCTTATCTATTTCTGCAAAATAAAAGAGCAGCAGGGATTGCATTAAATATGTAAATCACTTTGGGGAGTATTTTAACAATATTAAGTTCTCCCTAGATGAATGTAGGATGTCTTTCCATTTATCTAGGTCTCCTTTAATTTCTTCCAATAATGTTTTAGTTTTCAGAGTATGTTTTACATTTCTTTTGTTAAATTAATTCCTAAATATTTTATTCTTTTTGATGCTATTGTAAATGGAATTATTTCCTTCATTTTGTGATTGCTGGCAATGACTTTTTTAGTTACTCTGTAAAAACCAAACAACTATATGTTTGTAAATTTATAAATCAGGCTAAATAATGCACTGTGAGGGATACAATGCAAACTACAAAATATTTTAGAAATATAAATCAGAACTGATTATAAAAAGGAAGGAAAAGACAGGAATGGTCTAGCAAGCAAATTTGATTATGCTTTCTTGCTCTATCTAACCTGGTCAGCTAAATTGAACTTGTATACTTATATCTCATTTCTGAGGTAATTATTAACCATTTTGGCTTATACTGATTACAAACAAAGTGTTGATAATAGCAAAAAACACAATTCTTATTCTACATTTCATGGAACAAATAAAGCCACAAGTTACATACTTCTGCCCAGATTTTCCTGTAACTCACACACTCCACTATTATCTATCAGGGATTCCTAACTTTTCCTAAGAGGAGGAAGAACTTCTTTTAATTTCCCCAAAGTACTGATATTGCTGGGAGCAGCTTACATTTCTACAGGTTTCTGTGGAAGTAGGTGGCCATATTGTTAATGGCAGTTTCTCTCCTGATAATCTCAGCAAAACATGCAAGAAAACTTGACAAAGAGAAGGAGAGAGTAATATGTGGCATAAAAAGGGGAACTGTCAAAGAGGATAATAATGGTATAAAGATTAAAGTGAGAACCAGAGCAATACTGTGAAGGGAAATGGGGTAGTAGGACCACTGACAACAGAGGGATTAGACATGGTAGTATGGAGAGCTGTCAAGAAAAGCTCTAAAATATGATGTACTGATTACATAGATACCTTTGTAGCAGACCTGGATTGTTCAGTATAGTAGCTCTGCCTGTCACATGTGGCTATGGAATACTTGAAATGTGGCTAGCCCAAATTGAGACACGCTGTAAGTATAAAATATACACCAGATTTCAAAAACTTAATATAAAAAAAGAATGTAAATAAAATATATCATTAATTTCTTATGTTGATTACATGTTGATATGATATTGTCAACACCTGTTTCTTTTTACTTTTTTAATATTATTAGAAAATTCAAAATTATACATGTGGCTTACATTTGTGACTTGCATTATATTATATTGTAGAGTCTACTGGGGCAATAAATACTTCCTATACAGCCAATGTGAAACTTTCATATTGTAAGACTCACATATATTTTTTTCTTTTTTATGGCTAAGAATTATCTGAAAGAGCAAAAATAAAGGGGAGACGTTTAGAATTTGATTTGATCTGATCTATCCATTACAGACCAAGGGAAAGTGTTTGCAAATGACTCAGAGCAAATAAATTTGAGTTATGAAGCACAAACATTTTAGGCTTTTTACCAGTGGTCCATCTTGCTATTTACAAGGCATAAATGAAATCTAAGCATTCCTTCAGATGCATAACTAGCTTCCACAAAACCATTCAACTTCCCGAAATTAACTTCCCAAAATAAAGGGTTTTAAAACTTTTATAACCTAGTAGTTTGGTCTTGAAAACAAGTCTACAAAATATTTCCTGATTTACTATAATATGATTGCCCTGATGCCTATTTGCAGAGGGAAAAAAAAGGATGTAGGAGACAGCACGAAGTCAACAAGGCATGGATCATTTAGCTTTTCATTTTCTGTTGTTTTGTTTGTTTAATCCTTAGTGCTTCTGTATCAAAAGGAAAATCAAAATGTTTTGAAGTCACATGCCACTTATTCCCTACAGACAAAAAAATAAAAATATGCTACATTAGGCTTGCCCTGCCTGCTGCTGCTGGCACCCACACAAACCATCAGGGGGAGCCTGACCTGCCTTCCTGCCACCACCACCAGTGCCCGTGCACATTGTCCAGGGACCTGGGGATTGGCCCACATGGACCTGTTACCATCGATGCCCAAGTACACTGCCTGGAGGTCCAAGGATCAGGATACTCAGACCACCACCGGTGCCTGAGGATTGGCCCACCTGGCATCCTGTCTCCACCAAAGCTTCCCTAGAGCCTCTACTAACAACTACAGCCTAAGCCACTGAGGAACTCACAGACATCACTAACGCTGATTATAGTCAAAGAAACATACAGAGACTATATTACTGTACCCACCCATAATCAAAACCAAAGGGCCCTACCAAACCAACACTATAGAAACATCTTTAGAAAAATCTTTCCCTACTACAAAAGCCAATCTGTAAAATCAGAAAAAGTGACTGTTATACCAAATGTGCGGATATCAATATAAGAACACAAGAAATATGAAAAAGCAAGGAAACATGACACTTACAAAGCAACACGGTAATTCTCCACCAACAGATTCCAATGAAAAAGAAAAGTGTGAAATGCCTGGAAAAGAATGCATAATAATGATATTAAAGAAGCTCAGTAAGATACAAAAGAACAGCCAGGCGTGGTGACTCACACCTGTAATCCTAGCACTCTGGGAGGCCGAGGCAGGCCGCAGGCAGATCGCTCAAGGTCAGGAGTTCGAAACCAGCCTGAGCAAGAGCGAGACGCTGTCTCTACTAAAATAGAAATAAATTAATTAGCCTACTAAAAATATATAGAAAAAATTAGCCAGGCATGGTGGTGCATGCCTGTAGTCCCAGATACTCGGAAGGCTGAAGCAGTAGGATCATTTGGGCCCAGGGGTTTGAGGTCGCTGTGAGCTAAGCTGACACCACAGCACTCACTTTAGCCTGGGCAACAAAGTGAGACTCTGTCTCAAAAAAAAAAAATATATATATATATATATATATAAATACAGATAAGCAATATAAAGAAATCAGGAAACAATTCATGATCTCAATGAGAAAGCCAACAAAGAGACAGAGATAATTGAAAGGAAAAAAAAAAAAACAAGCCAGTCTTGGAACTAAAGAATCCAATGAATGAAACAAAAAAGATAAATGAGAGTTTCAACAACAGACTAGCTCAAGCAGAGGAAAGAATTTCTGAAATTCTAAATAACCTCATCAGACTGAAAAGAAAAAAGAAGAAGAAGAAATGGGATACCATAAA